CATAACATAACGACATCAGAACTGTAAAAAGATCTTTTGATATATTGAATATTCTTATGTCTATTTAGAAACAAATTTTTTCCCATCAAAACATAGCATTTAGATAAACATGTTTAATTTTTGAAAAGTGCAGAGGTTTTCCGAAAAAATAGCAGTTTAGCTCTACAGTGGTGTTTTTGCTCCCTCTGACCCCCTCTATCTACACCATTGCCAGCGGCGCAGTTTAGCCACCATGGCAATTTTAGCAACCAAAATAGCCACCCTAGCAGTTTAAGCAACCATAATTTTCAAAAACTTCTGGGGAGCATTCCCCATACCTCCTAGAAGCGTCTGCCTTAGGCATGCTTTATGATTTAATTTTTTTGTCCTTACCCGGGGCCCATAAATTCTCTCCGCGGCCCTGACGGTTGGTGTGTCACAAAAAACTTGCGCTGCAGCCCACAAATGTGGCATTCTGACATATTCCCCGCCTTTACTTTTTCTATGTCCCCGCCACTACACCGTTCTCCATTTATGGTAAATCTGATCGGTTCTACGAAGGACAATGATTCTGTGATGCCATGCGGTCTGCTTATGTCACCATTCCAATGAGACAACAATGACAGGAAGCGAACTTATTAGTCACCCTCTGGAGAAGCCAGACCCAAAATGGAGCGTTAGTCAATTGAAAGAATTTGGGAGATGCCAAGGCTTTAGAAAGTAAGAGAACGGCATTAAAGAGTACAGAGAGGTTTTCCGAAAAAATAGCAGTTTAGCTCTACAGTGGTGTTTTTGCTCCCTCTGACCCCCTCTATCTACACCATTGCCAGCGGCGCAGTTTAGCCACCATGGCAATTTTAGCAACCAAAATAGCCACCCTAGCAGTTTAAGGTACTTTACCACTCCAAAAAGGCAATTTTTGGGAGAATTTCACAAATCGAGATTTCATTGCAAAAATGTTCGATCGGTATTCATCTTTCAGTGTACGAGAGGTTTTGGCTATATCTCTACCCGTTTTATTATTAGAGAGGATAAAGTGCGTCATGGTATGACTTTCAGTTGGTTTTTATTGCAAATGTTGGATAAAAGCTCAAGAAAAAAGTCCGTCCCATTCGTGTCAACTTCGTCGGTTTCAGGCAACCTATATATTGATGAAAAGCTAATTTCTCCTCTGTTCGATATCATGGTAAATTTAGGATTGTTTTTAGCTTTTTCTTTTGTTTTTAACTGATTTTCATTGGCCAAATCTTCTGGATCTGGATTGTTCTAGTCTGCCATTTTGACGTTGGTGTGATTTGATTGGTTCACTTTGAGCAACAAGCTCTCCCATTGGTCAGGCTGCCTATACTGATCAGCTGACAACAGTGTTCCGCCATATTTTGTTTTGATAGCCACCGAAGTGAAATTGGAAAAGTTGTAAAATTTAGAAGTCGCAAGCCATCTTTAGGTCGAAGAAAAACTAGAAATTCGCGGACCAAAGTTGCTACGGTTATAAAGGGACATGATAAAGCTTCACAAGACGTTAGCACTGTTATAGGCGTGCAAAGTCAATGTGATGTTTCGATTAGGCCTTCCTCATCGCGATGCGAAGATGAACATTTTTGGAATTGATCTCGATATATCAGCTGCAAAGGACACTTCCAAGAGGGATACTGATTGCTATTTAGTTATTCAAAAGTTAATTTCAATCCAGCTTTTCAGTCACATTTTAGACATTGGGGTTTCATTTGACGGATCAAGGTAGATAAGAGGTCACTCCTTTCATAATGGCCTAATTGCAGTGATAGATTTGGAAACTGGCCTACTTATTGATTTTGAGGTCTTATCAAATTTTTGCATAAAATACAAGATTGCTGAAGATGAAGATCAAACCGAAGAGTGGGGAGAAAAGCATGCAAGAAATTGTTCAAAAAACTACAATGGAACTGCGAATGCAATGGAGGTGGATGTGCCACTCTAGAGAAAATTCTTGAGAAAATTTTTGCAATTCTTTTTCATTTAGCCTCTTCAGATGCCAATCCCAAGCATACACATTGTCCCCCAGGTGCTACTTCTTGGAGTTTCTGGCAGAGAGACCTTGCAAAAAGCAACAGCCCTGGTAGTCACAAGGCTCATGATACATTGTCACCAGATGTGGCAAAGAAAATTGTACCAATTTTTTAACAGCTTTCGGATTAGGATTTATTGAAAATATGTTCTTGTGCTTTGACGCAAGATAGAAATGAATCCTTCAACAGTGTTGAGAATTTGCCCCAAAGCTATTTATGATGGAAGACATACCCTGCAAACAGATGTCTCAATGGCTGCTTGCCAATTTTCAAAGGGAGCAACATTTAAAACAGTTCTTTGCAAATGTTTAGGTATTAAAGCTGGAAAACACATTAGAAAAGCATTTACAATAAAATCTGTCCAGAGGCTAAAAATTACAAGAAAATGTTCCTTTGAGATAGCAAAGTAAAGAAGAAAAAGACTGAATTACAAGGGTACTGCCAAAGAAGTTCAGCAAAAAAAGCAAAAAGGGGAAACATATGCTGAGGGTGACTTCGAATGAACTATAGCAACTTTTCATTAACGTTCATGTTTGAATTTTCTTTTTTGCTGCTATAATGATATTTATTTGATTTAGTAAAACCAACAATAAGCTTCAACACAAACTAAATACCTCAAAATTATAAAAATCATGGATAGTAATGAACTTTTGACAACATTCACTAGTTTTGCATTGTTTTTTGCATTCAGATTTTTTAAAAGTCATTTTGTCGCAATCTGTTTTCTGTGTCACTGCCCGACTAAGTCACTGCCTCATTTCATGATAATTTAATCTATGTAGTAAAGCTGTATATCAATTTGCTCACTATAAACTGAATAATGCAATAAAGATGTCTGTTTTGATGTATATTTAAAATGAACTTTCAAAACATGGTCTATAAGAATAATGTCATGATGAAATTTTGAGACGCCTGAGTTTAAGTTGCTTTCAAACCAATTAAATGTCAGAAAATCAGAAAAAAATGACATTGTTGCACTAACCAGCTAATAAGGAATGTGTCAATATGAGTTTTATGTGAACCAAAAGTTCTTGAGCAAAATGAGGCATAGCCTAACAGAAAGAATAAAATTTCTATTGTTTGTAGGTTTCCATGGTAACGATGAGCCACACCCAAAAACCAATACCAAATTTGAATTCCCAATGTAAAACTACATATGTCTGTAAATTTGTGAGTCAATAGCTTGCAAAACAACAAAGTTCACATCTCTGAGTGGTAGAGTACCTTAAGCAACCATAATTTTCAAAAACTTCTGGGGAGCATTCCCCATACCTCCTAGAAGCGTCTGCCTTAGGCATGCTTTATGATTTAATTTTTTTGTCCTTACCCGGGGCCCATAAATTCTCTCCGCGGCCCTGACGGTTGGTGTGTCACAAAAAACTTGCGCTGCAGCCCACAAATGTGGCATTCTGACATATTCCCCGCCTTTACTTTTTCTATGTCCCCGCCACTACACCGTTCTCCATTTATGGTAAATCTGATCGGTTCTACGAAGGACAATGATTCTGTGATGCCATGCGGTCTGCTTATGTCACCATTCCAATGAGACAACAATGACAGGAAGCGAACTTATTAGTCACCCTCTGGAGAAGCCAGACCCAAAATGGAGCGTTAGTCAATTGAAAGAATTTGGGAGATGCCAAGGCTTTAGAAAGTAAGAGAACGGCATTAAAGAGTACAGAAAGTCAAAAATGTCTGCATTATCGGTAAGTATTGTTAATTATTGTTATTAATATGTCATTAGGTGCTCTTTAATACTACAGGTTTATGGTATCAAGACGTATGTCTGCCGGCCTAATCTCAATACAATTGATAGTTTGCTTTAATTCTGTTTCATTTGAGCTTTTTATGGTAGGCCCGTCAACCAACCCAGTAGATCATTATACGGACAAAATAATGGTAGGAAATCAAAGAATATAAGGCAGGGGGGGCAGACACCTGGGTTGGCGAACATATTAGTACGACGCAACGCATCGCACTTACTTTTGAAATTATGTTTTTGCCTTCCCGTACATGCTGTGTAAGAGCCTCGTTGTACCAATTTTTTGGCAAAGAGTCAGAGGCCCAGCAAGAGGGGATTTGCCGCGTGATAGCGTGCAGAAGTCCAGGGATATCTCTTTCTTCCCAGAATTTGCTTAAAAGGAAGTTAGCTAATCAGACCCCCTGGATGTAGAGCAGTACTGGCACTGCCTTGCCAAATGATACAAAAATAATCTACAAAATTTGTTTTCGAATAATATTACTGAAATTACTAAAAATTAATTTCCTTTGTTTTGTGATAATGTTGCATGTTTGGAAGATTGTGGAAGGAAAAGTCGTGTTCATCATATCGCACCCACCGATTGTACATAATAAATGGTGCCACGGGGGTTCTGCTAATTTTTTGGGCTTTAAATTGCTAATTTTCTTAATTTTTGGGCCATGCCCCACTCTTCACTTTTTCGGAAAACAACATAGCTTTTTTTCAAAATCATTTTTTATGATTGTTAAATCTAACCTTGCCCCCCCCCCAACTTTCCAACCTTCGTCGGAGCCCATGTACAGGGAATGATGTATCGAACTTTGAATAATACTTTTATCACTTTTTTGCAAAAAATGTAATTGTAAGAAATCAGGAGGGCTGTTTTAAGAAATCTTGCATTTCCCGTCTAGGGCGAGAAATGTTTCATCGGTATTATAATACTTCTGATTTTTTATTTTCATATGAAGATATGAAAAGCTAGTAGAAAACTGTGTCTGTGATAGATTAATTTGAAATAAATTAATCTAAATAAATTTGATTCAATGCAAAGTCTGTCATCCTTAAAAAATTAGGAGGGGTACGGTGGCAATTTTTAGAAGTCACACACAAGACCAAACCCAGGAGTACACCACGTATACTTGCATTTGTGTTGTGTAAATGAAACTGCTCACTCACTAGGTTATAGGGGGTTGTCAACTCAGAATTCGTCCAAAAAAACATAAGCTCACTTGTTAAGGGGCCTGGGACCGACATAGGCTGAGCCCCTGAGTCCCCTCCGAGGCACCCCTGCAAAGTTATGAAAGGAAAACAGGAGGCTGGTTACCGTTAAACTCGTCTAACGAATCGTCTGAATTCGTCAGGTCTCTATAATTGAATAGCGAAACCCCCGTGATAATTTGTTCTAGTCAGACGTCAAATAATCCCTTTTGTGTTCGATTATCGGTAATTATACTTGCAAGCCTGTGAAAACAAAGTGCATAGTATTTGGTGTGGATTTGGAGAAACCTAGGCTAATTTCAACCATCCTAACTTTTGAAGTTTTGTCGAAATTTCACAAGTAATGAGAGAGTGAGAGATAACCTGCGCATGTGCACCTCGAATGAACATCAACAGGTGATCAAGCGCTAAATTCAAAACCAACATGGCCGACTCGTATCCACCCGTCGTCAAGTCAGAATTCAAGGTAAATTTGCTCATTTTCAAGTATTTTAGACTTTTTGCATTGCATAGTACTTCTAACAATTAAATATACAGCTAATATACTAAAGAAAGAGACTGCAGTGCCGAATCCTTGGCTGTTCGGAAATTTGATCCTTATCAAGACCGACCAAAACAATACCATATGCCCTATTCTCGTGCCTGCAAGTCAAGTCTGCATGCTTGTGTGAGCACGCTTAAGTTACATTCATTGAAGTAAATAAGATCTACAAACGTTGCAAAACTGTAGAATATTTACTGTTCTTTCATAACAGTTCACACGGATTCTCAAATTTTGCAAGCGTTTTTAATAGCGACTTCAGTGCTGCTTGGTCAGCAGAAAGGAAGCCATTTGTTTTGACATATTATTTAAAAGGTCTGTAATTATTAGCAACGTGCCGTCTAAAACGAAACATGCAATTTGACTTCACATCTGCAGCTTCGGAAAGAAATGTTCTTGGCCTGAAAAGAATAAGATTAGGCTCTCAATTCGAAGATGAAACCAAGTGGTTACCAGAGATTATGGTTTAAAACCATCATGTTCCAGACGTAACCTATTTCAAACCCCCGTCCCCCAATTTCATCATAATTTCCTAAAAGTGTTGGTATTTGGCGAGGTCGCTGTTTGAAACCATAGAAATGTTTGAGTTAAATCTCAAACCTTCCATATTGTTGTTAAACCCGCCTTATTGTTTTCTTCATCTCCAGGTTTAGTCATATGGTAATAAGGAAAGCCCAAGAACAATATATACCAATGCAAGCTCATGTTTCGATTCTTCGTTGTATTTTTTCGTTTTCTGTTCTTCCAGTTCTCCCAGTAATTAAATTGACCTATATGAAATGACCTGTGGAGTATAAACATAACCATCACAACAAAATTGATGTTTGCATGTCAATTAGACTGTTGCTAAAGGAGTCGTTAAAATTTCATTGCTTTTTTAATGACACAACCACAGAATACACAACCTCGCGTGTACGGATATCTGCTTACAGTTTCCCACACCAACTTTGCTAGACAAATTAATTATTGATCTTATGAAAAGTTATATGATGATTAAATCGACCAATATTTGAATCATTTTTTACCAGCAAATCATAAACGTAACAAATTCATGCACATCAATACACAGACGCATTTTTGCCTTTATCAACCAGTCTACATTTGATAGAGGTATTTTTCATCCTGTTGGCTTCTTTCGGAACAATCAAGACCTTATTAGCACACAGTTCAATTTCCCATTTTCGTACAATCGCCAGGATACTATGGACTGCATTTGTTATTTGAAATCAGGAATTTAATTCTTTTGCGAAATCTAGAACAGGTGGATTGCTCCCCTAAAGAGTGCACCTAAAAATTCACGGTGGGATGCCTAAAACCGCGATGTATTTTGAGATTATCATTCTTCACAACGGATAATCCTTGCTTGGGAGCTTGTTTCTTTGTAGGGTAGCTGGGTAACGAGGGAATCGCCAAGTTCCCATTAGGAGGTCATCGTTTTCTATATTTTTATGAACCAAAACCTGTGTACCGAAAGAAGTCCAAAAAAATTGACCTGGTATGGTCGTAATCGTTTGAATTCTTCTGTTTTGAACGACTTTTCTTCTTGTCATCTGCTTCGCAAAGCCATTTTTTTCTTGACACAAACCCTCCTGAAGCGATTTGCCAGGTGTGTCGTGCCAGGGAAGCACAGGTCCAGGGAAGAACCGAAAATTCCCACCCTCCCGGGTGTAGGATGTGCTTTTCTCGACACTTGAAAGAAAATAAGACGGGTTATAGATGTATAGATAATAGAAATAGATGTATAGTTTGTTTTATTCGACAGGAACCCCCGGTGATTTTTCTTTAATTACATTCGCTTTAATGACACCCATTATTTTTAAATTATAGATCTTTTCACATTGAGCTAATATATGCTTTTTCTCATTACATTCGGTCTTCTTTAATAATTAACACCTGTGTTGGATGAGTCATTTACCCCCCTTTCTATGCTAATAAGGCATGTTCGCCAAAACGACCTTGGAAGTTCAATTATTTCTCAAATATTTACATAAGAACGTTTTTGTGGAAACAAAAAGTATTGAGCGGCCAACTCCACCCCTTATCCTCAGTCCGATTCCTCCTTCTCCGCTGCTCCATTTCGCCCCTTATCCTCAGTCCGATTCCTCCTTCTCCTCTGCTCCATTTCGCCTCTTATCCTCTGCCCCATTCCACCCCTGATCCTCTGTCCCATCCCTCCTTTTCCGCTGCTCCATTTCGCCCCTGATCGTCTGCCCCATTCCTCCTTCTCCCTGCCCCATTCCACCCCTTATCCTCTGCCCCATTCCTCCTTCTCCGCTGCTCCATTTCGCCCCTGATCCTCTGCCCCATTCCTTCTTCTCCCGGCCCCTTTTTTGGCCCCTTCTCCCCTGCCCTATTCCTTAAATTTGATTTAAGTTAAAACGAGTTCCTGTAATGAAACTAATTAACAATTTCCCAGAGGGATAGACCTCTGTATGCCAAAAGAGGCTGCAACTACTCTGCCGTAAAATTTGGAACCGTGTCCCTATCGTTATAAGAGAGACATTTCCTTTTGCTTCATTTAAACGAAAAGTGAAAAAACACCTATCGAATTGGGAATGCACAAAACACGAAAATAAGACCTCATGGGAGATCAGTCATTATTTTACCTGTATTTTAAACTGTATTAGATTAGAAGTAGCCGAAGAGGTATTTTGTATAAATGTTATTAAATGAAACATTAAATCTTCTCCTGCTCTCCTGTCGCATTCTCTCCAGTTCCCATGCCTCATCCAGCGGCTACCAGCCAAGCATGATGAATTACGCATCTTGCAATTGAAATATCGCATCATCCTTTTTAGATAGCCTATTCTGAGGGTTATAAGAAACTCGTTATGAAATTTTAATGTTTTTTTCGGACGAGAAATATTTTCCACCAGTAGGATTCACCATGGCGAACATATTATAGCTGTCCTAATCCAGCGGTGTAAAGCTAGGGTGGCTCAGAGGGGTGCGCCCCTTTTCCTACTATTTGCTTTTGTTTTCCGATATACACTTCTCGAGGTCCCCATTTTACTTTTCATAGTAACGTTCCCTGTCAACAGATCTAATGAGTTCCAGTCTGATCCAGGTTTGCTAGAGAAAGTAATTGAATTCATGTTATTCAAATGTGGATGAATTAAGACAGGTCTCAGGGACAGGTACCTTGTAAATGCCATCAGCCCGTTTCTTATTGAATTCTACAACAGGTGGGCAATTGACTGTCTAAACTAAAGGCTATAATACAGCATTTTGTACAGGAATTGGCTTGCTAACAACGATCTTAAGTGGGAAAAAGTTAATCGAGAGAAGTTAGTTATTGTTAATCTGGCTAGAAAGTAATTCCAATCGTAGTTCTGATATTGGTAACATAACAAGAGACGTTTGACCGCTCCTGGCATTAGGTAGGTAGGAACTGCTACTTGAGTAATGTGTAGGACAGAGCCAGGGTGTATTTTTAGGATGAGTTAATTATGGTTTGTCAAGCTACAGTATCGTTAATCTTTTTTTGTGATGGAGTCCCGAACATTCTTTGCTACTCCGGAGGATCATATCATTTTACTCTGATTGAGTCTTGCAAGTTTCGGTTAGTTTTTTATTGTTTTTTTAACAGAGCAACATAGCCCACGAAATAGGAGCTGGGTCAGCTTGTCGTGTATGTGGACCAAAATGTGATGGGCTTGATCTACACTTCTGGAGGTAGGCTTTCTAAATTCATATGAACACTACATCTTACCTTTTTACATTTTACCTTAGCTAAGTTACTCCCCAAACTTGCATTTCGCGTACTTATATTACTTTGTTAAATATGAAAATCTCCTTATGATATATTTTGTTTGGTTTTCATTTAAGTGTGTACAAAACTGTTTCTTGCGCGGATATAAGCTAGATAGAGACATTTTTAAACTTCAAGAGAGTGCCGAAAGGCAGCAGCTTTTGTACATGACGTTATTTAAGAATGACAGGGGTTTTCAGACCAAATAAAATATTGAGGGATTTTCAGACCAAATGAGATTGTTAAATGATTCTAGTACCTCATACACAGTACCTGAAAGCTTTTTTTACTGACGGAATCTATTTTCGATATACATTTGCAAATTTTTTCAGGCATATTATAACTTAAATTATTTGTTCACACGGATAAATGGCTACAAAACATTAATTGCCAAGGTTCCCTTAGTTACCTGATCTATCACAAAAATTGAACCAGGGATCGTAAAACGTTTCAGTGTTACACTGGATTATCACTAATGTTACACTAAGTTTGGAGCATTTTAATTTGTTGAATACCATTGTACATTTATAGCCTGTACTTTAACTTATGGCTCTACTTTATAACTTTATGCACTGTTTTCTTTTAGAAAAATATGTAAAAACTGTAAATGCAAGCTTGAAGATCACGACGTGAAGATTGAAGAATTCGATATTCAGCACGAAATTCTGAAGAACCTGTTGACAAATAGTGATGGAACAACAGTATTCCAAAGGTCGAAAAAAGCCCTCAGCAATCTAGATGCCCCTGCTGCTGAGATCGAGGCTGCCAAAAAGAATTTTATGTTCATGCCTGAAGGGAGCACTCGAGTGACGGTATTGTGATGTTATTTTGGTTAAGAGTGACAAGTTGATGACGTCATAAAATCTATTTTTAGATTTTTTTTAAATTTGAAACACACGATAAAAAACATGATGAAATACCTCTTTACTTGCAAAATCAGACAATCCTGTTACTGATTTTCTGAGATATGGAAAAAATTGTTTAAAGATTGCTAACGGATTGCTGTTACTTGGCTTGGTTCACAGGTTTAGAACCAAATGCAGCGATTTAATGTTGGAAAATCTGTACTCATGTGGATATGTTTCAGATAATCTGTAACTTATCTACCTGATTTTGCACATTTTGAGGTATTTCATAATTACCCTATTATACAATTATTTAAATAGAGGACCCTCATGAAAAGCACCTTCGAGTGACTGAGGCCTTCCTCTGTAAATATTTGTATTATTATTATTATTATGTGTCGGCAAATTAGGGTGACAGGCCAGAATGGGAGGTCAACAACATGTCTTCAAAAGAGAGACAATTGAAAACTACGTGATTTGAACCCAGGCCAAGGTGAACCATTAGTCTCCTCCAGGTATATATCACATGGTTTGGTAAATCAAATACAAATTTGGCGATTTCTCAAATCTAGCAATATTACGGAAAGAGGTCTTAAAGTGAAGAATAAATGGTAGTAAACCCAAGAAAAACAGAAAAAACGACACATTTTTACAAAAGAATGGAAATGAACATCCCAACATTCATTAGCAGCTATGTTTCTTCTTTAAATGTAGTTTCTTCGGGAATTCAATCTTTGACAAAACAGAGTTATCTTTTTACCCTTTAAAATATTTTTCATAGATAACAAAGTATATGGCATCACTGCCCAAGGAAAAAGCTCCTCATTTGACTGAAGAAGGTTTTAACTATCGCCAAAAACAACTAATGCAGCAACTACCAGCTCACGATTTTGATGAGAATTACTGTGATGACCTCTCTGATAAAGAGAAGCAGAAAATGAAGGATTTCAACCGTAAGAGGAATGAAGAGGCGTCTGGACAAGGTGCCATCAAAGAGCATACAGATGTGACAGGAAAAGTTTGGGTAAATGATTTTAAACCTCAACTCACTACTAGAGATTTGAGAGAGGTCTTTGATCTTAAGGATCGTGGTACAGTGTTAAACCAGAGGACCTCATCTTTGACAGAGACATATTTTCAGACAATGAATTTAGTATTCAAAGGCTACTTTATCTTTCCTGTGGTTCAGTATAAAGGGATTTAGAACAAATTTGTCCATTTTATCTCCGCTTTGCTGTCATTGAATTTTTTGCATTTTTGCAATTGTTAAGACTTCTAAACCTGAACGGTTAAGCCTTAGACGCTAAAAGATTTATATCTATATTTTTTCTTCACTTGTATTGCTTCCTTGAATGCGTTTTTTTTAAATTTTTTTCGTTGCATAGGAGTTACAAAAACGATTCAAATGAAGTTTTCTATTCACATTGCTATGTTCTAGGACTGCTCTAATTGCAATGAAAAATTGCGCGCCGGCGATGTTGCAATATTTGCCGAGAGAGCTGGACCTGACAAATGCTGGCACCCAGAATGCTTTGTATGTGACACATGCAGCGAATTATTGGTTGACTTGATCTATTTTTTCAAAGACGGAAACATTTACTGTGGCAGGCATTACGGAGAACTGACAAGAGTTCGTTGTGCAGCATGTGATGAAGTAATTCTACTTTCTTTGTTATTTTGCTTTCAGTTGGATGTCAGTCTTGCACCAAACATCCTGCTCCTTCTTAAAAGGGTTACCTCTTTAGCACATAAACGTAGGAATCAGGAAGGCAGGTGCCCCTACTTTTCAGAAACTGTTTGCATCTCATGGAGCTCTAGAGCTAGAAGGATTATTTAGGCCCGTAGGCTAGAAAGACGTAGAATAACCCTAACCCTCTTGCAAAGTCACATTGTTTGTAAAAATACCCTTTGAATGTCTTCCTAGTTTCACACATGAGGCAAACACTTATTTTGTAGCATTAAACCAATTTTACTACTCGACTTAACTCTACCTGTGCATTGTGAAATCTTCCAAGAAGGCATTTGAATGATATCCAACAAATAAATCAGTGGCCATTTCTTTCATTATGTTTGTGTATTATCAGTGGCAAATATTTTCATGATTTGCATAACATCCAGACAAGGAACAAAGAGCAATACCATCTATCTAAAGTAAGGACAAATTGGGGGAAGCAAGTGTCATCCTATCTGTTTCTTGATGACTGGAATAAACTGGACACAAACATTAAGTTGGCAGGAACTTTTAATATTTTTAAACAAAGGTTTTGGACAATGGAAACTGATTTTATCCACAATGATGAAACTTTTTTTTTTTTAATTTTGTAATGTTTTAATAAATCGATATAATTAGTTAAATAGAGGACCCTTATGAAAAGCACCCTCGAGTGACTGAGACCATCCTCTGTAAATATTTGTCTTATTATTATTATTATTATTATTTGCAATTCTACGAGAGTTTTCCGCCTGTTATCTTTAGATTTTCCTGGTGAATGCCTCTATTCTCGCATTTACTTGCCTTAATACATATTTATGATTTTTTTGAACAGTGTCTTTCTTTCGTCGAAAGCTTGTAATAAAAACATTTTTGTGAAAAAAAAATATTATATCCGTTATAGGCAGAAATATTGAACGTCTATGATCAAATATGTAAAAGTTTCTTATTTTTTATTTCCTTTATCTTTCTTTGCCATCAGCTAATTTTCACAAAGGAGTACACACAAGCAGAGGGACGCAGTTGGCACATAAAGCACTTCTGTTGCTATGACTGTGACAAAGAACTCGGAGGACAGAGATATGTTGCCAGAGAAGACCACCCTTACTGCTTGGAATGCTACGGCCTAAAGTATGCTAAAATTTGCAATGAATGTCAAGGCAGAATACCTCCTGATGCTAAACGTGTCACTTATAAAGAATTCCATTGGCATGCGAGTGAAGCCTGCTTCAGCTGTCGTAAATGCAAGACCAATTTATTGGGAAAACAGTTCATTTTCAAGAATAACAACGTGTTTTGCTCTGTTGATTGCGCAAGAAGCTAACTGTGCTTGGAAAGACAACTTCGAAATATAATTGTTTTTAGATAATCTGTATTTAGGCAAGAGGAAGAGAAGCTTTCGAGTGATATTATTTATGCAACCATTAACAGAGGTAGAGTTATATGTAGACTTTTACTGTCTGCTTTCTTTTTACAAATTAGTACATTTTCGACACTGCACGAAATAAGCTGAATCCCCTGGAACTACTCTGAAAATTAACTGTCAGAATGAAAGTAACTAAGTAACCAAAATTTATGCGAAGTGGAGATAAAAAATATAGCTTGCTGTTGTTTGAGAATTATCATTAACAGTAAAGCTTTTATCAATGATTTCATAAAAATCTTAAGAGAAAGTTTTTTTCATGAAAACGTAAAGATAGCCATAATTTTCCTACTTAATCATATATTTTCCTTCATAGTCTTATAATCATATTTTATCCTTTACCTTAAAGCTTATTGATTGAAACGTGTGTGGTAATTTCCTCTTAAAAAACCTCATTTTTTGTTGTTTTCCAGTATGAAAGCTCTATCACCCAAATTGGTTTCGTATTGAACCGAAAACTGTGGCTTTTCGTACAGAAAAAACTCCCTAACATCTTATGTTATCAATAAAATGACCTGTTCTTGTCAAGGAAGTTTAGGTCTAGGTCTTTTTTGAAAAGGTGCATATGATCGAAAAATGCCCTTAACAGATGCACTTTGTTGGCCTTGAAATCTAGAAAGACAATTACCCCAAGCAATAAGGTAATAACCAGTCGATCATGCACTTTTACTGGTTAAGCCATAACAAGATCCGTCTAGCTTTATTTTACAATTTTTTTCGACTTTAAACAAAAAAACTACACACGGACAAAAGATTTGTATTTATGCAGAATCTCTTTTCTTGAAAAGTAACATACATTTGTAGTATAAAATCGTTGTATTCAAATCAGGCCAGTAGCCAAGGGGTGGCATGGGTGGTAATGCCACCCTGGAGGAAGGGAATACCAGCTGTTTGCCACCCCGAGAATTTGTCTCTTAACTTTTTACTGGGGTTTTTCGTCGTTTTCATTGGATTACCTTAGCGATTCATTGGATTACCGTAGAAATTTGTTTGTTGGGGTCTCTTCTTATCCATGTTGGACTTAAGATGGTGACTGGCGATCAATTAACTTTCGCTGCTAAGCAAAATCTTGAAAAGAAAAATTGCTGAAACGTCTGCCTGCAGCAGGTCTGGGAAGTTTGCCACCCCTGCTCCACAGGTCTGGCTACGGTCTTCAGTCAAATTGAAAAAAAGAGAACAGTTCGTTTCTCAGTCCACTTTTGATCTTGAAACAATGTACCTAGGGAAGGGGGCTACCCTGCAGGGGCAGGTTCCCTCCTGCCCTCTTCCAAGAGAGGGCAAGCAGTGTCCATAAATATTCACTCCTTATAAAAGATTATACCTACACTACCAGGACAAAGTAATAACTTATTTTGTTGTCTGATCAATGGCGCGCAAATAGCATAGGTTCCAATTTTGATTGGCTGAGCGATCAAAATTCTCCATACCGCATTAGCCAATCAGAATTCAAGAATATGACAACAAACGTGCCTCATAGCTAAATTTAGGTCTATTTTGGACGTTTTTACCACTACCCACATAAAATAAACGTGTAAAATGTCCTGAAAGATAAACTGAATTTTTTTTCAAAAAATTGAATCTTTGATAAATTTATGAACAAATTGCCGTTGTACTCAGTAAAAAATTGTCCGCGATCGTTAGTTACGAAGGCTTGAAACTGTCCCTTTAAAACCCTTATATTAGTTAGGGGAAGGAAAAACTTAAAAAATTACAGTTTTTAAACCTCAAAAGTTGCTTTATCCACGTAATTAACAAATGTGAACTTATCTTTACAAGCCAATGTTATAATCTTTTCTTGTCGACATTGATGCTTGTGTTACTGACGGAAAAAATCGCTAAAGAAAATCCAGCCCATCTTTCTTTTAAAATAACTACAATTTTACAATTTCTTTTTCGCTCAGGTACTTTATATATACATTTTAAAGGCTTGAAGGTCGATGAGAAGCTCACGTCAACTGATGTTCACTGATAGCGCCTGGTAAAATTCGACTTTAGCTGGCTTCATGATCAGCCAGGACTTAGAAGGTTTAGGGTAATAACAAACATTTGGCACCACTTTCAACAAATTTTCCCACTATGCCAACAGAGGTTGTAATTTACCGGCTGAGATCAAATCGTATGCAGCTTGTTTCGTGTCGTTTGTTGACATTGACTCCAAGAGTGGAACTGTAGCAAGCGCTTAAACAGGCATGGCTGCTGGATCCTCTTGTGTTGTACCTTCTTGTGATTCAATCTCTGTTCCATCCATTATGAACAGTCTCGCATTTTGATTATAGCAGTTTATCACATAAGTTGCAATACATATAACCCTGACATTTTGCAGCATGACATTTCTATTGAAAGGGTTAAATACATTGTCAGCATCAACTAACAGAACAGCATCACATTCATTTTCATCAAAAATATCTTTCATGGAATATGCTGCTGCTTCACAACCTGCTCTTTGACCAGCACATGAAAATGTCCTGCGCTGTCCATTATTTTTGTCCGAAATGTACTCATGACTACTCTAGCAATAATTCGTCTCAAAACCTCACCAGCACCAATTGGGCGTAAACCAGGATTTTTTATCCAATGGTATCAGCCTACAGGCAAGGAAAGGTTCCAAAGGATTGTCATCGTCACAGAAGCACTTTGAACATACCTTTCTGGTCACTCGAGCTAAGGAATCACACAAGTTGAGCCCCATTGTACCAAAAGCAGCTGATGTCAGGATACGTCACCATCCGTCTGCATCAAAACTCGACGAACCAGCTGCACCTTTTTACATCTTTTGCAGACTTGTATATCTGAAAAGCATCAAAACAACCATACGCATATTCACCAACCGAAAATTCCGGACCTTGTAACAGGAGATTTTCAAATTTCTCTTCACTATCTGGCTGTTTTTTAAGTAACTGCAGAGTTGGGTCATCCAGAAGTAAAATACCATTACTTTGCGCATCAGAAAAAAACTTCAGAGCAGCGTTTATCTTGCCATTGATTATAAAGCCATTGAATTTCTTGGGAACTGTCTCAATGTTGTCCGCTCGCCTATGTTGGCTAAAATTGGATTGAATAAAGCGAGCTTTTCTGACAAGTTCATCAAAGCTTCCACTTTTCCATAAATCAAGCCTTTTTCTCAATTTCTCCATATGGTCTTTGCTCTTCGATTTTTTGCTAGGTTTCTGAAGCAGAAGTGATGGCATAATAATCATTGCTTTTAATGCAATCAGATGTAATGGACCGTCATCAACCCATTCACTTACTAGTCTACATCATTCTTCAACAAATTCCTTTCCAACTTTACCAGATGGAAACATGAAAAGATTTCGTTTCCAGTAAACAACTTCTTCATAAAGAGCATTTATTATTTGACTTGTATCACTTAACGATAGAAGACGCCACACAGCTAACTCTTCTGAAAGAACAGCCTTAGGGAATGCCTGCGTAACGTTCGACTGAAGCGACGTTTGATCGATCGAATTGACGGCTGAATTTCCAGTAGAATTAGTCTCCAAAACAGAGATGAAATTATCCTGAGAAATTGGCCAATTTAATAACAAATCACGGTTGAGATTACTCTCCTGAACTTTATTTCGGCACCATCTCAAATATTGATTCAAACCTCTTTTGTTCTTAAACACTCGGGAACATAAAGTACATGAAAAGTGTTCTTCAAGAAGCGCAGTAGTGGAACTACAGGATACCAAATCAGATCTTTCTACTGACCGTATAATACCAGTTTGTCTCTGAATTCCAGCGATTTCTTCATAAATATTGTCATCAATAGTAGATAAATCACTATAAATGGTTTGTTGAGACATCTAGATATATTAAAACAATGAGGAAACATGAGTAAACACGATCAAACCTTTGGCGATGAATGAAAACTTGAGCATAATGAAAACAAATAACGTCCAGTAAACCAAATTTGCAAGAATATATAATTATCTTTAGACAAATTCGTATAAGCAGCAAAGAATCCGGCATAAGATCATGCAAATAAGTAGCAATTTTGCGCACATGAAAAAGCACGTTCGTTCACTACTGTCCTTTCAAATAGAAAATTGTATTGTATGGAGAAATTTGGTCCCTCAGCCAATCAAAGATTTGGAGCCTATGCTCGCGCTAATAAAACTGCAAATTCAATGAAGCGTTAATTCGAATATTCCATTTTAAATCAGCAATTCAAGTAACTTTTAATTAAACAAACATCTTGTGGAGGTGCTTCTGGCTCTTATAAGTGCGGAAAATTGCTTTGGAATTGATGTTCAGTTCAGTTCAGTTTTCATTTTTAATGATGCACAATGATGAATTTGTTTGGACAAGTCAGTTCTTGTTTGGACCTTAGAGAATCTTGTGGATTTCAAATCAAATCATTTTTGTTGGCAACAAGAAATATTCGCTTATTTTAAGGTTAGGTATTTGTGATGGCCGAGGAAGGACATAGAGTTTGCAGACTTTCAGGTAAATTTGAGTAAAAATGGCCTTGTAAGGGGGATGTCTTGCTTTTTATGAAAAAGACAGCCTTCCTCATTTTCCTAGCATTAATTTGATTCCACCAAAGAAACTGTTATGCATTATTTTGACATGTTTCACTGCATTAACTCGCACGTCGCTAATTTATGATTTACCAATTTATATAGGCCTAAATGTACCAAAAAAGTTATCCAAGTTGTATTGGAGAATTTCGAGGCTAAAAGAGTCAGAGCTAATAACTTCATCTGTTGTTTCCTAAACTTTCACTATTTTGCTATCATTTTCTTTAAAAAGTTGCAAAATCTTTAGAGTCGAGAGACCAGTTACACGAAGTTTTATCACAACTACTCGCTCCTTATCTTGTCATTATCTTGAATTTACCACTGCAGATATTTTTCTTATAGCTGTAAAATTTCTTACGTTAATATTGTAACTCTAAGTTTTTCGAAATCCTCAATAAATTTTGAAGAATTTGATTCCTGGTTTAGCATGATTATGCTTGTTTTTGAGGGAAATAATTCAGCGTAAAGTTAAAAGTTTACAAAACTTCAAATTTTTTGGATGCCATTTTCATTAGGGTGTTGCAATACTTTTGTCCTGGTAGTGTACATATACTTTTCAAGTATTGTCTGTACTTTGAGGCACTTTTTATCAATCCTTCGAAAATATTTTCCAGAAATTTTCTTAAGTGCTGATCCAACTTTTCATCCTGACTTTTCATCCACAAAACAGTAAGGTAATCTTTTGAATTTATTTTCATTTAAAAGCCATGGAAATTACGCAAAAAATTTCGTTGCGAAAGCGTTCGTTTCAAAAACCCTTAGCGCTAAACTTCCGTTAAAACCTGTCGGCTTAGGCCCTTTGCTCCTGTGAGCCGCCATTTTCAGCAACGTTTCCATACTTTTGTGACCCCAGTGCATTTCAGAATATTCCTTGCAGTCATTTTTTGCAAACATTTTGCTATTTTTAAGACATGTTTTCATTATGTTTGATTAATTAAAGTCTTCAAATGGAATTCTTTACTTTATGAGGCATCATAGACCCTGGCTTATTCCTTGGAAATTAAGCAATACTGTAAAAGTCCTTGGAAGTTAAGCAATACTGTGAAAGCTCCCCAGCCCCCCTACTGGCGCCGCCCTTTTACGGTATGTCAATCAGAACATTCGTTACCATCTCAGTTCAGTCTCGTAATCATTGCTAAAGAATTCCTTAACAATCACTGGATTTATTTCCTTAGCAACAAAATGGCCGATTGACTGTTCATTTAACGAAAAACGTTGGTCAATTTTATAGTGGCTTGGTCTGAAAAGCAGGCAACTATGAATGGTTTTTTCGGCGCGAATGGTGAAATTGATTATTCTAAATGGCAGAGGAAAGGTCTCTCTTCTCCACGGGTAACTTTTACTGTTCCAAGACTGGACGAAAATGGCGGCAGTGGCCTGATGGCAGAAGGACGACGGGCAAGTGTAAACAGGTCGAGAGATTCAGCTAAAGATACTCAAGGGCTCTACAAAGAACGCGCAGAAACAAACGTCAGGGTAAATTCAGGTGGAAATGAGAGACGTTATTCAAGTCTAATCGACTCACCTGTTGACATTTTCACTAGAGCTGAACTTGAATCGGCTTGCTCATCAAGGTGTCGCCATTTACCAAAACGCAACCTAAATGACACGAAAGTTACAGAGAGCTACGAAAATGTAGAATTAATTCGAACAATAAAATTTCAAATCAAAGCAAAACGCCAGTGTATTCTTGAATATAAAAAACAAATCTTGAATTTGATAAACGAGAATGTGAAGCTGAAAAAAGAAATTCAAGATAATGAATCAGGCACTCACGACCATGTTACGTTACTTTTGGAAAAATATCATAAGCTTCGAGGAGCTATGGGGAGAATTAGTCAAGAGCACGTGAAACAAAAGACTGCAACTGAAAAATCTTTCACAGAGGTGAAGGCATTGACAAAGCATGGTTTGTCAGACCTTAATGAAAAACTAAATCACCTGCATGCTGAATTGTTGAAACAACAGAATGAGCTTCGAACATTGAATAATTACAAAAATAAAGAGTATCCTGAAAAGGTGCTGAGAATCAATAGTTTGAAAAAAGAGCTTGAAATGCTGCAAATGTTGCTCAAAAGGGACATGAAAGAAATGGATGAAATTATTGAAGTTGAGGTAGCAAAATACCAAGAAAATGCTACAGGTGAGGAGTTTGCTGTAATTAAACGTGCAAGAAGTCAAATTTTTGATATGATGGATGCTGGTGTCAAAGAAACTGCAATGCAGAACATGAGGCTTAAGAGGGAGATTGAAATTCAGAAAAGTGAGAAAAAGAAATTGGAACTTGAGAACTTAGAAATTGAAAGAAAAATAAAGAAACTTATAGAGAAAAAGAATGAAATAAGACGTAAGAAGTATCCAGGTATCTTCCAATCAACAGAGAAATGTCTCCCGGATACGGAAATTGAGCTTTCAATCCCAAAAAAACAGTTTATACCAATTTAGAGATGACAAAAGAAAAAGAAGCATTAATGAAAATGTTAGCCGAGAAGCCAAATATTTCACAAAACTGATGCATTGATATTTTCATGTTTTTTACAAATGCATTAGTTTTAGAATAATTCAATTTTGATATAAGATATGGTAATATATTCTACCAATATAAAACTTTTAAAATATAGGGATGTGTAAAATTTTATTATGTAAAAAAGGTATATTTTTTATAAAAACAGCAAATTTAAAGGTTTTGTCTTTTGGTAAATAACTTGTAACACAAGATTTGTTACTAGTGGATCAGATAACTTAATGTGCCAGGAAAACTAAGCAAAGTTCAACTTAATATCTTATATCATATTTATCTTATACCTTGTATAAATACTGACCTTGTGAATAAGATTTGTAAGTGACCTTTTACTACTCTTAATGGAGAAAGAATGTTTTATTGGTCAAACACAAAAAAGTGTATTAACAATTCCTCCACACTGAAAAATGATTCTCTGTGCTAAATGCCTTTGTTTTGTGTTATTTCATTTCATTTGCTATTTGTACTGTATAAATATGGTTTATTTCTATATTCTATATTCCATATTCTAATTATTTTACAACTTTCTGAAGAGATCCACCAAAGAAAATCTCTATAATAAGGAAATCTTTTATGGTCAGCAATGCATCACACAGACCTTATGCCAGCAATTTTGAGACAAAATGATCTCTATATATTTTTATGAAATTTTGCTAACACAATTCATTCACAAAAATGCTCAAGAAGACACCACTCAATAAAGCTTTCTTCCATTCCTTTGAATTCAAAAGTTACTGTTACTATGGAAAACGTAAAGTGAAAAATTATATTTCTTCAAGAATAATAACAACAACATACATGTTTATACAGGGTAACTTCCTTATTAGTACAAGAAAGTACCGTTATTAACAAGGTCCCTGTTAAAACAACAGGAAACAATAGGAATTCAAATGCAATAAAAAACGCTGGGTGCAATCAATAGGTAAATCGTTTCTAAGGAATAACTTTTTAGGTGTTCCTGGTAGGCATTTGAAGGGTGGACATGCAACTTTCAATTACTTTTTTTAGAAAAACGCAGAATCTTTTCTCTTTACTTTCATCTGCCTTGTAGTTAATGATTTTATATGCCTTCTCTTGGAGATTTTCAAACTTCTGTGCAATTTTATCAGATATCTTGATAACTGGAGTTAAAATTGTAGAATCGTTGGCAATATTTTTGCACAATACATCGATTTATCAGCAAGCGCTGGCATTTATTTTTTCATTCGTGCTAAAAGTTCGATTTGGGCTGTAGCTTATTTTTAAAGCATCTTGTGTAGGTGGTCACTCTACCCTGGGTACCAGACTCACTATATATACAATAGAATACTTTACATAGTGAGTCTGGTACCCAGGGTGTGGTCACTCATGTTCCATGAAGGATCCAGTGAAAACATGTGCTTAAGAGGTCTAAGCGTCCCTCCCCTAAAGAAAAGCTTTTCATGTTTACCATTCTCCCTTTGCTAATTTAAGTGATATATTTGTTGATGTAGCTAGGCAGAAAAATTAGAGGGCTGGAGGTCTTAGCCCACAAATATTTCTTGATTGCAATTTTTGCAAATTTGTTTCTTTTCCCATTTGAATTGAGTATTTATTAGAAGTAACCTGTCTTTGTATTCTGTCACGTTGCCTGCCTTGAATGCAGACCAAGAAAATTGATAGAATGTGCACATTAAGAAAACATGGGGGCCATGGAATGGGCTTGATGCTTAAAATGTAAGTGGATCTTAATTTATCACACCTAAGTTCTCTATGCCTATCGATGTATGCTCTATCTCAATATAAACAACGAGCCAATTCCAGATTCAGTTAAATTATAGTCAGTTGGTTGAATTGTTTATTTATGTGTCCTGGACGATACATACCAAATTTCTACAATAAGTTTGAGCTGCAATAAATCGATAGATTGGAAAGCAAATTGTGTCAAATTTATACTAACCTTTGATCAGTGTTGAAACTGCCATTCGTTGTTGGTTCAGAATGACAGAATGTTACATAATCTGAATAACCAAGAGTTTTGAATCTCGTGGGACTCTTTTTTCCGTGAGCAGCTGAACGATTTATGAATCAAGAATAAGGGACACGATTTTTGATGACAATTGCTTAATACCAATCCCTACGAAAAACAAAAGTGAATTTTGTGGAAGAATTTAAAAGCATTCTGGGGTCATTGAAATACACGTAACGTCGTTTCAATGAAAAATAAAAGCCCAAATTGTTGCTCAAAGCCGTCAATGCACCAAGGTAGACAACACCGCTAGCAGTCGATAGAAAGCTAAAGTATTCTACCTGTTTTTTAAAGCGCAACTCCCCTGATAAGGCACACATTTGCCTCTTTATTCCAAAATATTATATTGCAACTAAATCTAAAGTTCTTGTTATAAAAAACCTAAAAAAGGGGGTGCCGTGGACTGAAAGCGAAGGATAGCTGTGTACAAGGCAGACAACCTTGCCTTTTACGTCTTTTAAACGTTTCTTGTTGACTCTGGTAATACCTGGTTGTAAAACATTCCTTTTTATTAGAACAAATAAACTCTTCCAGACACGAAATTACGATCTTAGAAACAAGAGAAATGTAATTTATTCTTTCTACTTAGATCTTGCGACAGAACAGAAGAAACCACGTAACAGGGAGAACGCAAGCTAAAACTTTAATCAGGTATATTAGATATACAGATTGCTTCCAAATTTTACACCACAAATTTTGAAATCATAAAATACCACAAAGCTATTTACAAAAAATTATGCAAAAAATATTTACTCTAAAGTTCCTTTCATACGACCCCTAATACATTACGCTCAAAACAATAACTTAAGATTATATATTCATTATTAATTTACAATTGCCTCCAAAATTAAAGAAAAAATGTATTCTAAATGTACAGTTTGATTGCCAATTATTGAAACTTTTAAGTTACAATAGTTTTGTAACAGTTACAATATTAGTGCACTTTTATTTTTGTCATGATAATATTTATCTAGCAAATAATAACAAAGCTTTAAACATCCTGATGCAGCTTCTGCAAATTCACGCTCATGTCATAAATAAACTTCCTATATTTTGATATCAAACGGGTCGTCGATATCTGTTGTTGGTGGAATTTCCATAACCGGGGGAGTTTCTTCGAGATCAAAATATTTTAAGGATTGGTATGCATTTGGTCCGCCGGTATCTTTCGGAATTATCTTCAATTTTTCATGGCGAAGTCTGAAATTGATACAAAATTTATACCTTAGATATGAAGATTGCAAAGGGGGAAGTCTAAGTTTGTTTTACGGTTTAAAAGTTTTCATTATAAGATAACATTCTTATTGGCTAAAACAAACTACGACAATATTTCCAGCCGCTCTTTGACTCTAATAGTAAGCCTTAAATTTCAAGCAATTTGAAATCCCCTATCCAAGGTTTAGATTATCAAAGACAAACTTTTAGGTTAAAAAATCTCACAATTTGTTTCTTGCAGCTTAGAAAACAATGATATATTCAAATAAAAAATGACAAACCTTTTACCCATGGCTTTTGATGCAGGGTTTGTTTTCAGCATCTCTGCAATCATTTTATCATCGATTCTGAAAGATAAGGAAAACATGGTTTCAACCAGCTTGCAGAGAGAGAATATTTAACGCTTTTTGGGTTCTATAATTGAAACATATTTCAAAGTATTCTAAAGAATGAGACAAAATGCCTATTATTTGAAATATGAGAATGAAAACCACATATGAAGTTCAAGTAGCCAGGAGAAAGGTAGTGAAACATGCTTTTTTGTTTGATACCAGAAACAAGGCATTCAAAATTTTAAAACTTTTAACAACTGCAGTCTTAGGCAGACGGTGATACGGTTTAGCACCCCACAGTACCCCAACCATAAAAGCGGGGAGAAGTGAATAATGACTCGATTAACATTTAATTATGTTTATTTTTAGCTCTTGTCTAAACTGCTGTGTCCTGGGTTATCGATATGTAGTCACAACCACTATATTTGGCCTCATACTCTCGCAAAATGGAAGAAAGCATTCAAGAAATAACAAATCACTCACGAGAATCCGTTTTTTGGCTTTTTGTGATTGGTAGATGTCATGTTTGATTTCTGCAATTCAAAACATAATACTAAAACGTGCATCCGTAATATTCTCATGTTTTCAAAGGAAAATTTACCATTTTTATAAGAGAATACTTAATAAAAATACCAGAGCTGGATTTTCAAAAAATAAGAACAACGTGATAAAATTCCTCTCAAATGAAAATTCCAATCGTGCAACTAAATGCAAAACTGCTAATTAGTGATCTTGGAAAAAATTACAGAATTTAGTTGCAGAAAAATCAACGATGAAATAAGAACAACAACTAAAACACTAGAGCCTCAAATTATCAAAAAGTCAAGAACATCGAGAAATTATCTGATTCTTTTAAAAAAGAGTGTAAAAATTCTTTCATTCGCTGAAAAAATGAAGAAACAACGTAACACAAAAAGAGCAGCGAGACAACGTAAGCTTCTTGATTAGTGAAAACAGACAAGCTGGTATTTTCAGAGATTATAAGAAATAGGGTATTGTATAATCATGGTATATTACCATACAAAAAATGTCTTAAAAACATCAAAGTGTTTCTTCAAAGCAGAGGCTTAAAAAATGTAAAAGTATACAAGTTTGACATCAAGAAATGCTTAACATAAATATACACAAATAAAGAATTAGGAATGTAGCATATCCATAATTGAGACAGCCTTTAGTGAATGATTAAACTTGATAATGAATAACAGGTCTGTTCAAGCACATTGTGTAACTTAAAGTCGAACTTAGCATTCAGGTTATACACTACTAACCGTGACGTCATCTAAAGCAGCGGCATCCTTGCTGTCAGAATCAGTATTTTCCTCTGCTTTTAAAGACGTTATTGCAGGGTTATTTGGAACACTGAGTGGATCAACCAAAACATCGTACGGTGCCATGGGATGTTGGTATGACGACGGAGAGGCAATGTCCCATGAATTAGGCTGACCAAAAGTGCCTAACAGAATAACACAGCTTTAAAAAAAGTCAATGCTTATTGCGAAGCACAACGATGATAACTTTTTTAGATATATTTAACTTAGCCCATAACAAGATAAAGTAAATAGAAGTCTGAAAGATAACAAAGAACCTTCCCTTTTCGTCAAGTTGCATATAGTTTCAAAACGACAAGAAAATTGATTTTCATTAGTGAGCCTCCTTAGACTCGCGGTCAGCTTTCAAAAATTACTTGATGCCAGTTTACTTTTTGCCAATTTTTCTACTCTTTAGATTAAAATCAAATTGACTTTTATATAACGCATCTCACTCACAATTTCTGGGAGCATAATACTAAAATCTTTAAAAACTATTAAACAGAATATTCTTTATTTACAGGATAAATCAATAACAAAGTAAAAGCTATAATTCTATTTACTATAAGTGTATTTACTATAAATCTTGATTTTATACCTACAAGCCGTTTCCTACTTTTTTGCATTTAATGAAATACCGAATTGAGGTGCTAGGTTTAAATCAAGTGAATTATATAAACTCGACTGTGCAATGGAGAGCCTAAAAATGCCACGGTGAACCTTTCTTGACCACCTGGTGCTTTCTTTCCCTATGCTTACATCCTAAGAAGCCTATTTTGAAATCACTGCTTAAACACGAGCAGACTTATTACCAACAAAGTGCCCATCCATCGTCCACAGTCGAACAGTGCAGTCAGTTGAAGAGGTGAGCAGCAAATCATAATCTTCTGCAAGTTCAATGCTGGAAGAGAGCAGTCAAAGATCAGTAAAAATTGTTACGTTCATGGCCAAACACATTTTTATTATTATCACTGACCAAAAGAAAAAAAGGTAGTAAAATTGCATCCATAACCAGAAATGCCAGTTTTGCAGAGAGTTTCTAATCGGAAAATTATCTTAAGTTTCGCATTCATATTTTTGTTTGGCAGTTCAGCCAAATATAAATTGGTCGAGGAAAAAACATTCCTTTTCAAAGCAGCAGTGCAGAAATGAGAGCAGTGCACAAAACTCGAGGAGGTTGTTGAAGCCATGCTAAATTCAAGTCAAAATACCGATGAAATCAAACTATTTTAGCATCGATTGTACAATTTGCAAAAAAATGTAAATACCTAGTTATTGTCTGAATATTTGATCGCCATTTTCGATTCACTAAAAGGGAGTAAAAAGTGGTAGAAAATAGATCAGACATTGATAACTTAAACTATATTGCGACCTAAATAATTCCTAATTGATTTCCATGCCTTTCAGAATTAAGAGCGATGTCTGGTTGAGATACAACGAGTTGGACCTTTTGAGCAAACGTCTATCTTAAAAGGATTTTACTTTAGCTATTTCTTTTCTTCCAAAATTTACTTTTTGGTATGATGTTGAACCAAACAGCATTGCACAATCAAATTCAAATTGGACACTGACTTTAGAATAACCATTAGTCAAAGCTATTATCAAAACAAACGAGGAAGTGCTTTAACGAGTCACAAAAGTGCTTCAAGCAGCTCAATTTTAGAATAAAAATATTTTGGGTAACTGATATCTAAATATAAAAAAATACCAGCTACAATTGACTTCATTTTATAGAGGTAATATGTTCTAAAAATAAGCGGGAAATTCCAACATGCAAGAAAGCAGGGGCCAACGCAATGACAAGAAGGACCTCGCTCTTGAAATGGTCTGTATACAATAGGTGTTCCAAATTAATCTATCATTCGTGAAAGCTTTCTATCATCTCAGACAGCGCTTATGATAAAGAAACAAGCTCTATCGAAAGCGAGAGAAAACATTGTAAGTACCAGGTGGGCTTGTTGATTCTGGACCTTCCATCGCATAATCTTCTACATCCATGACTGTTATAAAACCTATTGAAGAAAGACGAGAAACTAATGAGATCGAATTTTTGTTTTATCATATTTTAAAAAATTCCTTAATACCACCGATTCTACATTCTTCCTCTCATGAAGCATACAATTTACTATTACATAAAAAAGCCGACGTAGAACTTTTAACGCACTTATTTTAAACTTTGTTTTTTCTATACAAATTTTTTTCATCAAAACTTATGCTCTTTGGTTACAATCTATTCATGACAAACCTGCATGTGACGTATTTTTTGGTGAAATTCTCAGAAAATACTTTGGACTCAAAAAAACACAGATAAATCGGCTCAGCTTTTCAGTGAAAAGCTCAAGCAAATATATCTTAGGACTGTGAAATTTTGTGTTAGAAAAATAGTTAGGAGAATATAAGGACAAAAATAGCTACTTTGATTCAGATGGGTTTGTTGACTCTTTTTTACACCCTAACCTAAGGAACCCTGTCTTTATAAAACCATCATGCCTGAGTGCATCTACTCCAAATAAAAAATATTTTCTATTGTGCTATGTAATTTCCAAAATTGACTTCAATTGCTTCACTAAAGTTGCAGAAAACATTGTAGTTGTATTAAACATGAAATCGACAGTTTTTACTAAATATGCGACCAGCAAATGAAAATTTGCAAACCAACCTTGGGAATCTCCAGTGACAAAATGTGTGTTGGTTGAATCGACTGCTATCGACGTAACAGTTCCACGATGCGACTAAAAACGAAAAAAGACGATTTTAATTGAATCTATAAAAAACACCATCACTAAAAATGTATATAAATTTTAAGTTATATCAGTGATAGTTACATTTCGATACGTAGCTGATTATCATAACATTTTTAGCAACAATTGATGTCCACCAAAGTCAAGAACTAAATCAAAACTATTTCAATCCTGTTGGGTTTTAGTTGGTTGAAAAGCTTCCTATGTGTGTTTATTAAAAAACAAAATCTAATGTTTAATGATTCCTTTAAAGATGCCAGAAAAATCACCACAGAATATATAATGGAAAGGAATACTCTGACAATAAAATAGTTACACGAATGATCCTATCATCATTTCTACAATGGCAGCCAAAAGCAGTTTGGAACATTGAGACTGCTCTTGTGATAAAGGCATATTTTTATCACATTGCTAGAGTAAACGGAAGGACGAGCCGTGACAGTTTTGTCATGGCTCCAAACTTGCACGCAAACGGGGTATCAAGTTACAGTAGAAGAGTTTGATACGGTGCAAAGTTTTCGTTAGCAAAAATATGACAACATAAAGCCAGTTAACACTCAAAGATGTTTAAAAAGACAATAAAAACATTTTACCGCGATAAACGTCGAATATGGCTTGCTAGACGAGTAAACATTCCAGAAATAAATACGACCTGAAAAGCAGTTTCGTTTTGTTAGTTAAATCGCATCAGATGCTAATTTCAAATGTAAGGAAATTATATTTCATTCTTACACAGATGACCAGTAACGAATGTCCTGAAATGTATTTTCTCGAATGATTTTTCGTTCTATTTATATGAGAATATATTTGCCTAATTATTGATATTGTATTACTATTCACTAGATTTCTCGACTTAGTCCAAGGGTAAGCCTTTGGAACCTCAGAATTTAAAAACAGCACGTTAAAGTAGAAACATGCCATACCAGAGTACTTATCGTCCAACACACGCCAGAGTATAAATGTCGGATAATGTCCAAAGGTAAGCAGAAAATTTAATAGTCAAAGGGTCTTATCCAACTCTCACTTAGTGTAAGACATGGATCGTAATTCAGTTATCTCTATCTTCCATGATTACGTGTATTTTAGATGCAAAATCAAAAAACATTTTTATCAATACCATTTCGAAATATCTAAGAAAAAACGTACCATTTGGACCATTTGAGATCAATGCAGCTGCCATCTTGTTACCGCCTCGATTTCCAAGGAATGCTAGTTGATTCACGACCATGGATCCATCCACTTAAATCACAAAAATTGAAAACATCACTCAAAGCCACCAAATATTAAGATCAATATGCCAATATTAAAATAAATAACTTGTAAGACAAATCAACTCCAATTTTTAGAATAGGCGATTACTCACGGAAAGATTCTCAATTATACGAAATAGATGATATGGTTATGAATGATGATGAAATTTTCATATTTATCATCAATTTATAAAGATTGTAAGTACGAAAATCACGAAAACTTTAATCTACGAAAAATCTTTCTGTCGCTTACAGATACTGCTGCGAGAAGAAAGCTTTCCATTTGCTGTTGGTGCATTTAGTCTGCAGAAAATGTGACCAGAGACCATGTTCCAAATCAGAATCTACGTGAAAAGATTCAAAGTAAAGGTTTATGAAGTCTTCAAATTAAAGAGATGTTACTATTAAAAACCTATTTGGTAATTCTATCGTTTGGAAATCTCTAATAGGTATTGAGTCAGTACAGAGCTTAAGCTGGAGTGTCGTACTCTCATGAGTGTTTGAAAAAACGTTGTTATAATTAATTGAATAGATTGTGCGAAGAAGATTGGTATGTAATCAAGTAAAAAAAGTTCGTTATGCATCTATAAATGTATGCATTCCAAACCTGTTTCACAAAAGCATTGACAAAAAGGGGCTGCCTCAAAGCGAGCAACATTCAGCATCCCCTTCTACAAATGATATGTGGATGATAACATATTTGCCAACAACAGTGTGACAAATTATTTAGAGTAAGGATTATTCACATTTCTGAATTACATCTTGATTGAATAACGGTTACAGGGAACCACACAAACTCTGCTTGGGAAACTAAAATCATGCTTCAATTCAAAATTATAGCAAACCTCTCCATCATAGCTTGATGTCGCCAAAAGATTCGGGGGGCAGAATGCAACTGCCAGGATATCTTCACGATGCCCACGATGCTGCAATCGAAAGAATGCCTCTTCAAACCAGACAAGCAAACAGAATACCATTAAAGTAATAGCAAAATGCAGTAGAAAAAACAAAAGGACATCTTTTGTTCGCTATATTTAAAACACAGTCCAACGCTCGTACGCCCATTTTACTTGCCATGCTGTTTTAAACTTCTTCGATGGAAATTTCAGAGGAAATTCAATCGATTATCTTAGTAGAAAAAAAGAAAAGAAAAAAATGCCTTCGACTCAGCAAATTATCGTCATTCTCTCTAATGATGGACTAATGAGAATTCTATTTTATGAAACTAACAGCAAAGTTCCCCTGCCCTGATTCATGGAAATATGTTTGAATAGCAATATGATACATTCCACTACATTATAGACTGTCGACGTTGTTTTGCAATCAATAGTTTACGGTTATCAGAAACAAAGAAGGGAAAGTGTTGATTAAATAAGTTACCTAGAAACTGTACTCACAATATCGTCGCTCCAAGTGACACATGGCCTTTGGACATGGTGGAAATCTGTTTGATCGTCCTGCAAGGACGTCACAAAATTATTGCCACTTAACTATAAGGATTCTTCTGAAAATTGTACCAAAAAACCTACTCGAGATTTAACCACACGGACAAGATACAGCACAAGAAAATCCTAACTGGCAACAGAAAGAGAATTCACAGGACCTTCTGTGTGGTTCAATGAGGCTAAATGAATATGTTTTTCTCAGAATCAATTGGTAACCGCACAGCTGACACGAAAAAGGTCGTTGAAAATTAAGTAAATATCAAGTAACTTTTTTTAAAAACAAATCATTTTTGTTTTTGGGATGTTATCCCAATTGTTCACCAAAACTTGGAGCCTCATTTGAAATACAGCAGAAATACTAACAAACTACCGAGAAAAAACTTGTACCACACGATGAAGGAAATTTTATGCCTGAATAAAGAAGTCATGCAAATACCAATCAAAAGCTTCATGAAAGGTTTTAATCAACCAAAAACAAAAAAAACAAACAAACTTTCAAATTAAACGCTGAAGATATTTATATTTTCAAATGATGAAACATAACTTTTACGCTCATTATAAGCAAAATTTTTAACAACAAAATTCTAAATAAAGAAATTCCAAAATTATAAATATCCTCAGGATGCTTAATAAATTGAACGCTTTTATTAGACAGGAATGTTCCCAAGCTTTTCTCCCGAAACTCTGATTGAATCGAAGTGTCCTACAAATTTAGTGAAGATATATCTCCTGGCGTAGATATTAATGCAAAAGATTTGATGAAGGCAATATTCTGTATAAAGTGAGGATAAACAAATATTTGGAAACAATTCAAAGACGATTTCAATAAGAAAATGTTTAGAGAGACATTTTGCCGTCGGGTAGACATTTGGCTCGACCTTTTAATTGTAAAAAGGAGATGAAAGGGATGAACTTACAGAGAAAACATTCACTCTGCGATCCCATCCAACTGATACAATATATCTGAGGGTCAAAGAACATAAATATAACGATGCAAAAATAGCGAAGAAAATATGAATGTTCACAACCTAGCAATTTGGCCCTGAAACTTAAATTCCTTGCTACAACTAAATATCATACAAGCATTATACATACAGAATAGAGACTCCATATAGCGTAAAATGCTAGGGCCAGAGTTATTGTCTCTTGTAGGAAGGACTTTCGTGAAATGTATGGATAAATTCATTTGTCTGTTGTTTTTAAGTGTCCGTAATTGGAAGGTGGCATTTAAAGCAATTTGTCAGAGTGCATCAAGACAAGTAACGGACAATAACTTGTAACTAATTGGTCTGTGATTCAAACTTATTACTGCAAAATCTAATTGCCTTGGCTTTTGTTTGAATTTTATATGTATTTAATTCAGCATTTAAATATATAGCCTGAAATGCAAAGCTTGAAGTTTGGTATTTCAATAACCAGATAGTTCTCAATAAAAAGATTTTAAACTCTGAATATGAAATCAAAGCAGGCATCGAGATTTGAATTGCAATTAGGAGAATTATATAACAAAATTATCAAACACTAGCAATGAAATAATGATTATATTATAGCAAACCTGTTTTTATTTATTATCACGTAGCATAGTGCTGAAACCTCATCCAAATGCCTTTCTACAAAATTAAAAACAATTTTTGCAAATCACTCGATTAGAAATACCTTGTAAACAAGATGAGATCCGAATATGATAAAAACAATTTTTGAAAAAGCATTTTACTTTGGAATGTTTTAAAGTCCAATTTCAAAAAGATATCTTATATTCCTAGCCTTGAACCTTGATTAATCATGTTTGGCGTTGGAATAAACGAAAATAGTATTGATATCGATATTTGCTAAAAAGAATGATCGTAATACTTGCACATGCATGTAAATAATGAAAGAATGTACACAAATATATTTTTAAGAAACAGATGAAGCCTTATTTTTATACGAAAAGGGCAGTAATTCCTTTGTCGTAAGTAACCTCCCCTGAGGCTAGTGACTGTGTGGTCAAAATGTTATCCTGACCCTGCGTTTAACCACCGGGTCTTCTCTATTCGTAAGAAAGCATGAATTCCACGGACCGGGTCATCATCACTAACTGAGTCGCACAGCCATCAAGATTTCACAGTGAAATTCAAAATACCTTTCTCTAAAACTCTCAGACAATGCCCATTGTTATAATTCCAAATTTTTAACCTTCCGTCTCTTCCACCAGTTATCAGCCTAAAATATAATTTAATCTTTTACATAGACGACATGATGAAGATTGCTTTTATAAACAATGTAATAGGATATAGCTTAATTTTTTTTGGAAGACCTATTAACATGAAAACCTTAAAAAAAACGTGATACCAGGAACTATGAAATATAGAAATAATATAAAATTATTATGATTCTAATAAAATAAAATAAAATACAGTTATGATTATGATATATAATATAATATAATATAATATAATATAATATAATATAATATAATATAATATAATATAATATAATATAATATAACCTTCTCTCAGTTGAGTCGAAAGTCATGGCTGTAATGCCATTATCTCCGTGGGCATTAGAAAATTCGAAAACGCATTTGCCGCTTTCGATATCCCACACTCTAACAACCTATGATAAACAAAAAAAAAGCAATTTTATTTATGTGCAATCTAGTTTCCATAGCAGGAAGAAGCAACGAGTACCAGACACTAAACAATCCTATTGTGTCCTTATAAATCGATGCTTGCATGAAAGTTACTTTGTCAGAAAAAATTATACACAAAATAGAAATCGATGTGAATAAAAATACCGAATCCTAAAAATGCTCTAGCCAAAAAAGAAACATCAGAAAAATGTCTGTCAATTGAATATATAACTGCATAAGAAAATTCAACATCAACAAAACTCAAATTTGATGCGAAATAAAGTTTGTGTGGGAGATGTCACAAATCTGGTCAACAAAATATTTTTCAATGATGTTTCTCAGTGAGAAAACAAATTCGGCTGCCACAAAATGCAACAGTACATTTTTTGCTGCAGGTTGGTCTAGCGGCATTGGTTCAAAAGAAAATACTTTCTGGCAAAAGTACCCTCTTTTCCTGATAGGGAAACCAACACGGAAGATACTAAAAGTAGGTTAACTTTGCTCTAGGGCTGGGTCTAGGTAGAATCCTCTATCATAAATAAACCTCTTTTCCGTTTATTTCCAATGTAATTGATTATATCGAATTATTCTTAAGATCGAGGAAAATGAAATTGATCGAAAGAAAACGCCATTTCAACCGTTGATAAAGTAATTTTTACAGCTGTCTGTTGATATCGCTGTCAAAGAAATACTGCATATTTAACTCGATGAGAATGCTTTCCCAACAGCGGTCGGAAAATTTCAGTAAAGGGGAAGCAGAGATTGCTTCATCATAATTGTGACTCCCTATGATACTTTTCACAGCGATAACTTCCTCAATGGTTATAAAACCCTCAGAGTACAAAAATTAGTCGAATTTAACAAAGATTTACTTAATAAAAATACCGAATGTTTTCGAAAATCGAATTAAATTCGTGTTAACTGCATTTTAAAATAGCCATTGCATCCTAATTAATTCATTTGTTACCTCCGATACTTCAAAACACAAAATACCTTTTGATTAAGAAACACATTAACGGAAAACTGATTTTGCTGCAATTAGTCAACGAAGTTTGGTAGACACCACTTTAAAAAATCACGTTTGATTTGAAAAAAAGAATACCTCAAATATGCGTATATTTATGGTCTCAGACACTCACCGACGCATCAGATCCAGTGACGACTTGTTTGAAACTTCTATTATACTTGACACAGTTGACGCTTTCCTTGTGAGTAGTTGTCATCTGAAGGGACATTGGCCTGTGAAGAGATCGTCAAGATAAAATGGGCATGGTCGAATCATTTTAGGAGTATAGTATGGAAATATAGCTACTTCGTTGAATAATCTTGCAGAAGTAAGCAACTCCAGGATGACCAAAGAAGGCGAATCTTGCATTCTTAAACCTAGTTTTTTTATAAGTTGTTAACACACAATTATATAGGGAGATGGAAAGGCCGAAAATGTTTCAGTTCACTTGACAGGGAAATAGTGATGCTGGTAAGAAATCTTTAAGTTCCAAACAGAGAAAGCTACAAAAGATTTAAAGTATAGTCACCAGAGGCCGTTTGCAACTTGCCGAAATTTGATGACCGAATTACGAAAAGTTTAATCACCATCTTTCCATTACTGGATAATAGAGTTTTGACTCGAAATTATTGTCGAGAATTTATCAGGATTCACAACCATCAAGTCTGACATTTCGTAAACCTTGTCAGGATCTATATTTCTAAACTTTGAAAAATTTGGCACATTAGTGAAAATGGTCTGCCGCTCAATGAGCTTTAAATTTGCATTAAAAAAAAGTAAATTAGTGTAAATCTATTCTTTCAGACCATTCGAAAAAAGCTAATAAAAGGATGGGTCCTCTCCTTTACTTGCGAATAAAGTTCCACAAGGTGAGATGCTGTAGTAATGCATACGACAAATATCAGAGACTTTTATGAGAATCATTGCCATTATCAAAATCCTTCACTTATTTGTGTATCAAAACCGAAGAGCAACCACTCGTGTTTTAATAAAATGGTAGATCAACGAATGTTGGGATGATTTCGGTAAACGCTGTTCATCAACTCAAGAAACATTTAAGAAATCAAGGAATTCAGTGATTGCTAACCATACCACAGTCCATATTTTGTAATAAATTCAATTCAAATACATAGCAGCACGGTTTCAAATTTCACGCCATTTGACATGACTTCTGATTGGCCTTAGCTAAACACGTAAAAAAGACACCTTTGTAAACACGGAATCTTTATCTTTTTTATGTAAACAGAGTCGAAGTTGGGATTTCTTGAGATCATTATTGTGCAAATCATTTGAAAAAACAAAACAAATAATTTTGAGAAGGATTAGGTGACAGGTGTCAATTGAACATTCTCTATTTTGATGTGCTGCAAATATCAAGAATTTGATTAAAATAATGAAATTTTCTAAATCATCTTCAATCAAAGACGTCATTACCTTCCAATGTTAACAAACATTTAAATCTTTATTAGGCCTGAAGCGTCTGCGCAAGGCTTAATTATTCATAAATCTGATAATTAAATTCTGCTTAAATTTTCAAATATTTTTTGCTCTTCATTGATTACAAAAGCCATTACTACTGAGGGTCTGTCAACTATTTCTTCGCCGAGTCCGCCCGCCATTTTATGACGAGCCAGTTCACCGCGTGATCAACTCCATTCACTAATTACCAACGCCAAATAATTAAAAGCCTTTCAACCCTGCCGTTGTTAAAACTCTAAAACTGGAATAAAGGCTCAATTTGGATTGTATTTAGTTTTATATACCCTCAAATTACGTTAAAGGGGACCGCCAAGTAGCTCAATAGGGCCGAATCGACCACAGTAAACCAACAGCGTACACAGAAGATTTGAAACACTTAGATGGAAAGAGCGACTTACTTATTCTTAACACTTAGAAGAGCCATACCGTCTGTAGCCACAGCCAGTCCACGTGATATTGGATTGTAATGAATAGCTGTGGATAGATGACATATAATCGTCGCAATAAACTGATTACTAATTGAATACTCTCACTGATCCTATCTTACGTTAAGATAACAAGGCGCAGCTAAGCGTAAAGGGAATTAATAAACAGATGAGCTGTGCCAATTAAAGCAGGATCAGCATGCTTCAGTCTGCTGATCGTAGGAATTAGGCGACGACTTAACGACCTTGAAACAAGCCTCAGTTCACAGCGGGAAATCTGCATTTACTTCAGAGTTTATTCGTCGTTTGCCTTAAACATCCTTGATATGGATTTGAGATGACTTTATTTATTCATTTGAAAAATTGTTTATCTTTAGGTTTCTTGTCACATAGGTAGGCAAAAATCCACTTGACAGTAAATACAGTTTGATTTATTTAAAAAGGTTGGATCAATAAATTTCTGGTGTCATACAAGTAGCTAAAAAGGATGTTTTGTGATAGAAGGACAAAAAAGAAAATCAAGGGAAAATAAATTGTGAAAGAAGCAGATATATGTCCTTTTAGCAACATTTGGAGGTAAGAGAAAACAAGGAAGAAATAGATCTATCTGTTTATTCTGTTTATTCGGCTAACACAATTTTTGAAGGGAAATGAGTCTAAAAGTACGGGTTTGAAAACACAGTTGACATTTATGATGTCATGCAGTCTTGTTTAGTGGAAGAGGGGTTGCCGCTTAAAAAAATTAATATAATGAAAAATAATTAAAAAATTAAGAGATAGAAATTATGAAGATTCGAAAACCAACTCCTTTCAACTAGTTCAAATTGAGAATATAAATAGAGGCAAGTAAAAATTCAGGAGAGTCGCACCAGATGTTTGTTTACTAGAAGCTAAAAATGCAATGCAATTAAAACTAAAACAAACCTGCTAAATCGCCTCTAATTTTGTGAGTTTTAGGACGAACAGTCAATAAACAGGTCTGATCGTGTATATCCCAAACCTAAAATAAATCAACAAATTTTTGAAATAAACCAGTTTTGTCTGTTGTTCCAATTTATGACTGTTAGAGAACAGGAAATCTCACTTTCGAAGCACAGATTTCAATCTTGAATCTGGAATCAATACGGAATCTTTAGGAATTTAGTAGACTAATAAATGACATTCGTTTAGATTTTAGAATTGTATACAAAGATGGCTGTGTTTTGTATATCTGCTACTTTGAATTGAAATAAGACCTATATTGTGAATCACAGAAACTTTAAAGTAGGTACGAGATTCAATTGTGATCTATTATCTCAATGCAACTAGAAAGAGTGAAACCTCTTGAAATGATGGTGAGGGGAAAGCTGGACTGGAGAATGCTTTTAAAAGCGATAGAAAATTAAATGCTTATATACCTTGATAGTCTTATCATTTGATATACTGAACAGGCGGTTATCTTCTGCAACCACGAACAAATAGAATATTGGAGTCACGTGGCCTCGAAGAATTCCAATTGGTTTGCTATAAAATCATATGCAACATAAATTATCATAGTAATTAGACTATAAATGTGTGTCGAGAGTATTTATAGATCTTAAAAAATCTTTACTCTCCATGTTTCCATTTTATAAATTGTATTTTGAGTTATTTACTTTGTTAACGAATCCATTTCTAGTTCAGCTGGAGTTATCTCAAGTATATCAGCTTCTGATCAATTTTATCAAAGACGAATTAAGTTTCAGTCCATTTACTTTACTGAATGGGTAGAAATTGTAAAACCGTGCCTGACTATTACGAAATATAACACAACCGACAGAGGGGAATAAAAAGGTTCCGAAGATGTTCCAAAAATTACTCCTCTTGCAAATAACAAGAATTTAAGGAAATTGAGACAAGAAACCCAGGGTTGTTGGGCTGCTGCAACATAATTAGTGCTCTCAGGGAAGGAAAAGATAGGACTGATGTTGATGTTGCTTGTTGCTGCTATTTTTATTTTAGAATCAGGGTACTTATTGTAGTTTTATGCCAAAGGATAATGAAAGTGATGAACTCATAAATTTACCTTGGGACATAAGGATTCCACAGTCGAATCAATCTATCCATACCTGAATAAGAAGTGCAGAATGATTTTTCGATAATGATGCATACCTAAATCTAAGCCAGGTATTGTATTGAGAATGCTATTGTGCAAAGATAATATCATTTATCTGTTTCTATAATACCAATACAAGCCTTGTCACACAACATGATAGGTGTCAGGTGTGAGAAAAGATTCTTATCAAATACAAACAGAAGAAATATAATAATCATATCAGAACTTCCAAAGAGCATTGTGAGCAACCTTCTCCATACAGCTATCTCGACCACAATTTGTTAATGCTCAATCTTAAAGAGCCTAAAAATCAAATAACAATAATTCAAGAAAAATATAACGAAAGTATGCAAAATACGTTCCTTCAAACAGCACAGCAAAGATAGCAAAGTTAAGGTTCCATAGCAGCTTAAAACATAATATACTTGAGCCCTCTCAAACGCAAATTGGTGCTAGGATAGCTCTGTGGTTAGGGTCCGTGGTTCGAGCCCCTGCGTGGTCAAACTTTCTCTCAGAGTGAGGAGAAACGCCAGCTCTCTGTATTTTCAGGCGTAGGAATCACGAGATGTGGTCACATCGAGTGGAATGACCAGGACACTGTTCGATAAGCATAGCTTCTCAGTGTCAAAAACTATCTTCAGTAGCAAGGGAGCAAACAATGCAATACCTCTCAAACGCAAATGAAACGTGACTAGAATGCAACTGGTTATGACATGTTATTAAGAAATAAGTGAGAACTTAGTAAGTCTATACATGACTCTAGGAGGATCTGATTTGTAACAAAGCCATGAAAAGCAGACATCATTTAGTCACACAAAAGCAATTTCAAGGCGCAGATACGAGAGAAAAACTTACCCCCAGTTGCAATGATGTTCTTCTCTTTGCAAAAATCAAATGTTCTAACTCCCTTGTAAACCTTAAAAACTGTTTCATCGCATTCTAATCTCCGTTTTGGTTGAGAGTCTCGAATTGGTGGCAGGTTAGCAGGCTTGCGGCCAGACGAAGCAAAAGTCATCTCTTTCAATGACGTTTCCACATGTGTGCTGCCCAAGGTTTGGCCTAAGACATATAAAAAAAACTCAATTTTAGTCGTATATACCACTGTAGAGCTTTGAGGAAACTACAAAATCTTTGTAGCTGTAGTCACTGTTTTGAAAAAAGATATTACAAAAACAAAGTTGCAAGTGTGCTCATAGCTATAACAAATAGTTTTATTTTATGCTTTTAAAATTGCATTCTAGTAAATTTCTAACAGATATTTTGAATAAAAATAACATTTGAAAAAATACTTTCCTTTTTTGGGAGGAGCTTTAATTGGAAGGTCTTTAGAACGAAAAGCCTATCACTTCGCTAAATTTATGACGAAGCCTAATTTGATGTTGAAATGATAAAAACACCAATGGCTAAACATAAATTTAATTTTATAGCTGAATTTAATCTGCTTTTTTAACAACGTCGGTTGCATTTGAACGAAACTGTTTTGCTGGACAGTAAAAACTGATTTAAGTAAAAGATAGCAAGGAAATTGGTGGGAATAAATGTGTAGATGAGAAGCAATAAACATTTTGAGGTATCGTATGATACAGACTAATCAAAGAGATTTAGACCCTGGTTTTGACTTAAAGAAGTTCATTCTGAAAAGGGAACAAAACTGGCGACTTAGGCAGCCTTTCCACTAGCCTGGGTTTAAACAAAACCGGGTTAAAAGTTATCCGTTTTTAAAGTTAGTCAATGGAAACGGCAATTTTCTACGACCCGTTATTAATCCGTTTTTAATCGTTCCCACAAAGCCGGGTTAAAATGTATTCGGGGTGAAAAGTTGTAAGAGAAATCAGTATTTGCATTAATAATCCTTCAATTTCCATCGTTGTAGGCCAATGGAAGCAACATCGACATCGAGGACTTTGCTTTTCGATTTTTGGCGCCATCTCAATTCTTAAACGTTGCTGTTGTTGCAAGTGGGTCAGAAGTTATCCGGGTTTCGGCGTTTCCATTAACTCGCAGGTGGGTCAAAAGATACCCGGGTTAAAACTGACCCTCTCTGAGACCTATTTTCAAACTTATCCGTTTTTCAAGTGGGTTAGTGGGAACACGACGCAGAAACGGATAACTTTTAGCCCGTTTTTGTTTTAAGCCGGGCTAGTGGAAAGGCTGCCTTAAAGTAGGTGAAAATTTCTTTAAAATACAGCGATGAGAAAAGCCAAATACTTGGTATATGAATGGTAATATTAATAAAAACAGACCTATGACCAGCGAATGACTAGCGTCACTTGAGCAGGAGATAACAGCTCTTATAGAATCGTAATAACGAAGCTGAAACAAAGTGTTTTCGTACGTCGATTATAAACGATGGAAAAAGGGGCATCCTACATAAATATTTGTGCAGAAAGAAATATGGAATCGGAAGCTGTAGTATGGAGTGGTTGCAAAAATCATTTTGATAATTGAACTATCTTTAGGAAATGTAGTATTTAAAAGGAAATGTAGAATATTTTAAAGCCACGGTAACCAATCAACCAAAGCTGCGATGAACAGAGAAAATCGATGAATAAGAAAGAGAGCGTTTTGGCTGCTAAGATATCTACAAAAATTACAAAAGGTCAATTACAAAAATTGGATAGCAAAAATATACATCTCTGTTGATGAAAAAGGGTACTCATTCGATTAACTTAATATCACTTTTACTTTTATAATAGATTGTTAATGTATCATCTATAAACAGATGTGGAAATAGATCAACCTTGAAAATTTATTGCAGTTTGAAGCAGTTAAAATAGAAAAATACTACAAACGTGTAACAAACATTTGAAGGATGCAATTAATTAAAACATACCTCTTGTACCCAGTCATTGTGCACTTTCCATCTGGAAAAGATGATTTTAGCACTAACAAAAGTCCATTAATGTTTATATATCATTCCATTAAAACTTGTTTGGAGCAAAATCAGATATCATAAATCGGAAATATTTCGAGAAGCAACATTTAAATCCTACAACAAGCAAAAGCAATACTTGGCAACAAGCAACCAGACAAAAATACTGCCTGACGCGTGGCAGAACCTCTTACCTAACGAAGCTTATGTGAGGCGAATTCACAACACTGAAAGAAAGAGAAGGAACATTATAAGCGTGGAAGAGTAAAGATCATTTGTTTCATGGCGGCGCATAAAAGGCATATAAGATAATAAATTACTTCCATTAAGGTTTTTTGTTTACAATTTAATAACAGTTCAGTGATTGAGTTTATAGTCATTCATAAAATGCCATTATCTGTCTCTAGAACTTTACGTTCAATAAAGTTCATCATAGACAAAAACTTAAAATGCTTAAGAAGTTAGCTTATAACATATTTAAGAAGGGGTACGAAATTTTCACACAATCGGGAGACACCAAAATTAAAATCAAGTCGATCAAACAATTCACATAAAGAAATATGCAAGTCGATCCATACAAATTCACAGCTAAATACGGCTATTTCGAAACAAGTTCATCAAAATCAAGAGCTATAGAATACACGCAATTAATGGCAAAATTTCGTTAAAATGACTGGGAATTAAAAACCATTAATCATTGGGTGGTTAGATGTCATTTGAGCAACAAAAGATAGCTAAAATCGCTAGTTCCCAGACGCAGACAGTTTATGGTTGTCACTTCTGGCGACCCGGAAAAAATGGTAAAGATTCCAGACGTAACAGTTTCACAAAAACAGCCATTTCATATTGCTAACATTTATTCAGAAAAACTAAAACCTTCTTCATATAATAATAATTAACACTGATCATACTGCAAAAGTAGAGAATTGAGCAATATGATGAATTCGAACTCAGGAAAATAATTCAGCAAGAAAAAGTGTTCTTTTGTAACGCAAGTGAAAAATTGAAATGATCTTTGTAAAGTATCTTACGGGCAACAGATAACAAGTGCTAGGTTGCCAAACCACAAGCAAACTATAATGGCTTAGAGAAATTACAAACGATTACATCTCCATGAAGCACAATTTGAGCTAACCATAGGTCGTTAAAAATTTCTCTGATCTTGTACAAGATAGATCGAGGAGCCAACCATACGATAAAACATTGATTTCTCTCGAATATCCGGTCAAATACAAGGGCTTTACTAACTTAATGCTGTCGGCATGATTTTCTTTTAATATACAAAATTATGAAGCTTCCCACGATCATGTGTAGGCTTAAAAAACGTGAAAATGCATGTTTGGCAAGGTAACAGCAAACTTCATAATGAGATTATTCGCTGTATGTTGAAGAGAAATCAGACTAAATAGAGTAAGTGGAATCTCTATACAAAGTCTAGAATATGATCTGAAACGTCGGCAAAATACCCTCGAAAAAGGTCACTGCACTTGTACAGGGACTCACCTTTTCAAGAAACTACCAGAAAAGTGCATATCACAACTTTTTTCATCAAACATTGGTAAGCAAGAAAAATTGCAAAGTCAAAGGTTTCTTCAAAATATAAAATAACCAAAGTTTTTCATATGTGAAAAAAGCTATGATCTACTGCTCTCGAACCTTTCATGTCTAACGAAATACAATACATACAAACAGTACAAACGAAATACAAACAGGGTTGCAAATTATCAAGACCATGCTTACAAATGAAAACTTAGAAGAAACAGGATGGATATAAAGTGAAATTGGAAGAGATTCTCCACTGAATGCCTTTTAAGGTTTTGTGAACCCATTATGAATCCTTTTGCCTTTTCATTTTCTTTCTGTTGGCTTTAGGAAAGGGCTTCGTGGAAAAAAACTAACAGCACACTTTTGAAGAACAGAACAAATAATGGGTATGTTACTTTGCTTTAAAACTAATAATTACTAATACTAGGGTAACGTAAATAAAGCAAAAGTTATTGTTGCATCTAATTTGTCCTTTAAAAGAAGCTGCATTTGAGTATTTTCCAAAGGACTTTCAAAAGAAATATTTCCTTTAATCATAAATACTTTAAAAGCTGAAACGATTTCTTTGATTGCATGGTTCGATTCTTTTTCAAGCCATGGTTATGGTGTGTAATTGTGGCTTAACGGCACAAAGCAATAACTTGCATAACAAAACTGAAGTTTGACTCTAAAGAACTCGTCAACATAAAACAACCAGCTGAGTAAATTAAGTACGAATTTATTAAGCCAATAGCAAAACTATTACGAACTGGATTAGAACTTCGAAATTTTCTTGACTTCTGAATCCCCCGATACTTCTCGTTGTCAGTTTGTATTAATCCCTATTTATATTTTCTATTGATATAAATTCCATTAAAAAACAAGCATTTTGTAGCATTGGATTACCTATCAATACTCGTACTTGCAATCCCATCTATTTTAGGCATCTTTTTCCAAGTCCGCAGCACCTCTCCAACATTCTTTATGATGAAAATGCTGACACAGCCCTGAGGTTGGCGAGGAATGATAGATAGAAAACTGACTTTTGCTTAGCAATAATTAAGAATAATCAGAAGCAATAACGAACAATGGAATAAACAATGGAGTAACATGCAGTTGCAAGCGAAGTGGAAAAATGTCAACTTACTAACACAACTTTCTATTTCCTTCGCATGGAAAATCAATGGCAAATATAACTATAACCAACTTAAAACTATTAAATCGATGCAGTAAAGTTATTTAATGTATACGATGAATGAATTAATGAATTAATGAATGAATAAATGAAGGAATGAATGAATGAATGAATGAATGAATGAAGGAATGAATGAATGAATAAACGAAGGAATGAATGAATGAATGAATGGAGGAATGAATGAATGAGTGAATGAATGAAGGAACGAGTGAATGAATGAAGGAACGAGTGAATGAAGGAATGAATGAGTGAATAAATGAAGGAATGAATGAATGAATGAAGGAATGAATGAATGAATGAGTGAATGAATGAATGAAGGAACGAATGAATGAAGGAATGAATGAATCAATGAATAAAAATATAAATGAATGGATGAATGTATGAATGAATAAATAAATAAATGAATCAATGTATGAATGAAAAAATGAATGAATAAGGGAATGAATGAATGAATGAATGAATGTATGAAGGAATGGATGAATGAGTGAATGAATGAATGAAGGAACGAATGAATGAAGGAATGAATGAATCAATGAATAAAAAAATAAATGAATGGATGAATGTATGAATGAATAAATAAATGAATGAATGCATGAATGAATGTATGAATGAATGAAAAAACGAATGAATAAAGGAATGAATGAATGAATGAATGAATGAAAAAACGAATGAATAAAGGAATGAATGAATGAATGAATGAATGAATGAATGAATGAATGAATGAATGAATGAAAAAATAAGTAATACGTACGTCACTGTCACCATATAAAACAAGGCATTCATCAGGAACAGGACAACTAAGAAACGAAAAAAACGTACAAATAGAATGATGAAAAAAAGAAAGACCAAATTAAAAAAACCGAAGAGCTCCTCTTGAAAAATAGTTGATTTGGTTTACCTATAAACGAAAATGGGTTTGCAAAATTTGCTTAGACAAAGGAAGACTGTGCAGATATAATTACGGGCAACATGTCAAGACCTCAATGTTTATGATTTTACACGTGTGTCGTGGACTTCGCTAACACGTAAAGAAACCATCCAAGAAAACAGAAATAATCTTGAAAACCAAAGATTTGACCTATGGAAACAAAGTATCAAAACTACTTGAAAGCAAATAATAAAACAGCATTAATTATTTGACAAAAAACTTAAAGCATTAGAAAAATTAAATCATTTCTAATCTGTTAGTGATGTTTTAAGCCAAAGAACATCCTATATCATGGTATTTTTTAAATCTCGTTATTTTCCCTACTCAATTACAGCTGTGATGCAGCTGAAAGTTCGTTGCATTTACACACATCGCTTAAGTATACTCCGTATCAGAATGCATAAAATATTCGTTGAAAATACATACCAGTAATCCAGCCTAAGCGGAACTGTTTCCAGACTCGATATTTGACAGTAAGCCTCGAATGTTGAAAGTTCGTAAAACTGGATTTCTCGATCCCTAAACAAAAAGGACACGCACTATTCTTATCGATCACGTATTTCGCTGTTTGTTAAATTCAGAAACATAAGAAACATTAAACAATATTACCAATACAGAAACATATCATTGCCCTGAAAAATCGGAAAGCTCGTTTTGCATAATGGATAAATGACATTAATAAACATGATATCTCCGTAGCTGACCAATTTCAAAGGTCTTTTCTGCTATACGAGAGGCCGATGACATAGGAGACATTTGCATAAAAGCAACTACTTTAGAGCAAGCTTTGCACAAATTCAAACACTTTTTAGCATGAGCTACTGGCTTTTATATCGTATTTAAGCAGGTTGAATTTATGAAAATATTAAACAGAAAATATTATTGAAGCTTTCATTTGTAAATATGCTTATTGTATCTGTCAATAAATTTTTGCAATTTAAATCCTAGAATCATTCAGTGTACTTTAGGCATCTTTTGTTCTATGAGGCATCAATCAGTGGTGAAGAATCTTTTAGCAGCTTTCTTAAAGTGCATTGATGATAATGGAAACTTTGCAACTTCAAACTGCAACAATAAATGAACTATCAGCTATTTTGCAAAAACGAAACAAGACTAGAAAAAACCATTGCAGGGAAAGCTCAAGCTGTAATATAAGCCTAGATGCAGTTTCGACATTGCATACACATTTTACTTAAATTCAATATAACTTAAATATTTGTTTTTCAAAGTTTCAACTCTCACTGGCGTATACGTAGTCTCAAACACTCAGTACTGAATTGAGGCAACATAACACATACCCTGTTGCTATGATGAATTTATTGTATTGTGGCATCAAAATAAAGTCTGTTATCCATTTACTTTTCTTTCCACCGCTTTCAATCTATCAAAAAATGCTCTCTTTGTTAGTTTTAGTTTTACAAGAGCAAAATACCAATATCAGTGGATTAAAAGCATTTGAAGTAGAGCAAGGCTTTATTGCAACGTTAAGGGTGAGTGGCAAGAAGGCCATTATTGAAGACACAATCAAGAAGGGGTAAGTAACAACACAAGGCGAAAGTCAATAAGCATAGTCAACTTTTTAAAACCCATCCAAAAACTACCAGAATTAACGGTTAACAGCAATAAACGCTAGGTAGAATTCATCTGCAGTCTATCTTTGTGGGTTCTCCAAATTCTGTTTCATCGCAGCTGTGGTTTGGCCCTTGGTCCTGGCCCTTCAAAGTTCTTCTAATACCACACCCAAGAAAGGGGAAACGAGAAAGACGAGTATGGGTGACCAATTAGGAGCAAGGGGGTAACAGAAGACAGGGGATGGGGTAAAGAAAAAGTGTGACGAAATGAAAAAATAGTCTTTCGAAGAATGATAATGATTAGAAAAGAAGCCAATTTTCTGTTATATGCAACATCGCTCGATAAAAATATAATTACAAACAAATATCTCTGAAGGTTCAGACAGGCTCATGCCATCCTACCTGATCATGGCCAAATACATGATCAAAAATCAGATATAAGAGGAAAATTAGAGGTGATAGAAATAGCAATTAATTCCAACGCAATAAGTTTAGTAAAAATTATACAACTTGTTGAGAAAGACAATTATATGGTTAAATTCACAACCAATTCAATTTGCAAAGACAAAAAAGAGCTCTGTGTTTGTGAGCAAAGATCATATGAAAATGTGTTATGAATGTGCCAATAAGAGCATGGTTTCAAAGAGAAAATTAGAAGGGTAACTTTTAAAACACAGCATTTTCAAAAGGCAAGAAAACTTTCTGTGCATCTCTAGGAAGTAAAGAATTATTCCAGATTTTAACTCTTCATGGCTGCATGTAGCACAGAAGAGGAGGGGAGCTTTCAAAGAACTATCCAGTAGCTCAGATAGGTACAACCAACAAATCAACAAAAATGAACACAATCAATTAACACCATCAACAAAAAGATTTATAACAGCCCCAGCAACGTGCAAGTAATTTCACGTATATTTTGGAAGCTATTTAATTACAATTTCAGCAACAACTTGATATAATACAAATGTGTAAAAGTAGTGAATACAAAAAATAATTTTTCCAATGATACGAATGTACATCACAGCTTTTTACAAAGTGAAGGACTGTAAATCCTCGAATTGCCCCCCTCGAAACCCCCCTCTCGAAAAAGCCCCCCCCCTCGAATAAGCCCCTACCCTAGAACTAGAAATTTCCAATAAACCCCCTCTCTCTAATACGCCCCCGCTGCTACCGTAAATTCTCGAATTGGACCCCTCCATTTGATGATTTTTGCCATCTGAGGTTGCCTATGGCGTTTTATTGAATTACCACAACAAATTTATACTTTTATTAGTAATTGATTAAATGCTCATAAAAAATACCTACTAAAATAAACGAGGTCTTTTAATAATGTTTTCCTAATGTCTACAATAATTTTATAAGCCCCCCCCTCATATATGCTCTCCCCCTCTTAAAAGCCCTAATCCAAAAATATCAAAAATAAATAAGGTTAATTAGCTAATTCGAGGATTTACGGTACTGGAAAACGAATTCGAAAACGTTTAAAATTGCCTAATGAACGTCAGAAATATTAGAATGAAATTTTTAGTAAACACCTTGAATAAATATATTGAACTTATTCATTTATCATTTATTGCTCCTTAAAAAAATTGTTAGCAAAGTTCCTTTCTTCGCAGATATTTATGACAACAGTCTATTCGCTCAGAAACAAAAATGTCGGCAAAAGACATTGGTATAACACAATAAATATTCCTAAAACCGTTGGCATCTTATCTAATCATAATTTCACTCTCATATTGTATACTTTAAATGCCTTTCCAGAAGGCAAAGTAACAATCAGAGTTTTTTAATATAATGCAATTGAATAAATAATTCTGTAAAAATAAACTTTATGAAAATAAATAGCGAACCTGTTTCGTACGTTTGTGTTGCATTGATGGCGTCCAGAAAGAAACCATGCCGTCCTAAAATGGAACAGCTTAATCTTTAGTTTTATGCAATACAACTTTAATTACATTAATGATAAAACTTTAATCGTTTTACTACATAGCAAAACTTTCATCACAAAAATACAGCTACTAGCAAGCGACATTTTCTCACTGTTTATGTCTCCTCTTGATTACCTCTTTTAACTAACGATATTTTCGACTCAGCTAAAAAATTATTGTCCAATATCTAACTCTAATGATAATAAATTCCTGACTGATGAATTAAAAATGTCTTATTTCCTGATTTTGTCATTATGGAAAGTTTGTAATTGCAGTGTCACATATTTCAAAGAACGGCTTACAGTTATGGGGTAGCAAATAATTTAATAAACAAAGCATTCTTGTTGCAATCATTGTCTTCATAAACCAAATATTATTTACTATCATTTTTTCATCATTATAACAGTCATTTATTTATATCTAGCTTTTTTATAACTATATTTTAAGAGTTATAGTTTTGCTTGACTTACTTTAATATTTGTCAAATTATAGAAATATATGCATAACTGCTATATAACCAACATACAATTATTACACTACTTGGACAATTGTGACAAATTAAATAGCAAATTTATGTTACAATGCAATAATTTCATTAAGAAATATAATATCACACAGTTGTGAGACATTGATACGTTGTGAGATACATAATAATATGAGTAAATAATAACGTCCAATTGCTATTAAAAAAAACAATAAAGTTTACAATAAACGCAAGTGAAAAATTTTGGAAAAATATAAGGTTAGGTAAAAAATCGGGTTATGTGATGGCCAAAGTACAACTTATGAATAGGAAGCTCCTTTACCTGGCTTACACCGAGAAAATTATTGTCACTGGTGTGGCAGATCCTGAGAAGAGCATCACGATGTGGAGAGTTGGCCAACTGCGCTGGCAAATGGAACGCCGTCTAGCAGAAAATCATATTCAACTTTGTTTGTGTGTAATCGTCTTCCCTCTACATTGTTTGCAATTTTAAAAAATACTAAACGACTTTCAGTGATAAATTTTAGCCGCTAAGTCATTATAACATGAAAAGCTAGACAAATAGTGAGAATAAATAGTGGATGTCTTGATGAAACATCGTATATAATTTAATTCGTGGATTAAACTTGGCGAAAGCCATTTTGAAATGTCAATCAAAAAAGAGATTTTTTACATTAACAGGCAGATGCAAATCCTATCATGTCAGGTTTTATGTTAAGTTGAGACGAGATGGGGCGGATAGAATAGTCCAAGGGAGATTGACATGGACATGAGACTGAAACGCTCTACCAATGTCTCCTTTGAAACAAATATAAAACTGTCGAGATCTGGAGTGAGTTATGCCTTAGTTAAAATATTGATAAAATTGAAACGCTAGTCAAATCTAAACTTTGTTGGGATGATAAATAACAAGATTAACAAAAATATGATTTCCTCTTTATTTAATAATGTTGTCCATATATCAAAACAAATGATCGAAACATACATTTCATGGACAATACTTGATATGACGATATTCAGTTATGATATTAAAGGACTTTCAAGGCTTTGAAGAACAAGTCTTGGGTCACATCTCTGCCTATTATCAAAGAACCTGTCTGTAATTGGAAAATACGATACGATTACAGGTTTGATCTTGGACAAAAAGCCGAGTCATATCAAAGGATTTCAATGTGAAAATTGGAGCGAAACTCTTCTACAAACTCATTAGAAAGACACTAGAAGGATTTAAAGCAAGACTTATCTTACATGCTGTACTAAGAAACCATGATGAATTATTAAGGGAGAGGAAAAGTTGGTGCCAAAACAAGCGGTACGATGACTTGTCTCTAATTAGAGAGCAGTCGCCAAGCACAGATGTATAGTCAATACGGGTCATTTACCATGAATGAGCCCATCAAATCGAGCATTAACCTTACAAGGCGTGCCGGCTTACAACTTGTATTTTATACGAGGAACATCCCACGTACATTCTCAAATTAATAATTCATAAACACAATAGCAACTCAATATCTTCTTTCATAGACAAAAGCGACTAGGCCACAATAAAGGCTGAGGTATTCCATGAAAAAACAGATCAGGGTAACTGCTTACTTCAAAATTTGTTATCTTCTGTGATGGGCTTTATAGAGGTAATCAATTTGAATTCGTAATGAACACTACAACGATTCTATTAGAACTATTGATTGTCAAGAATTCCGTAAATACTATCTGTTTACAAATTTTAAATTCAAATATGCATAGACGGGGAAAAAAGTGTGAAAGAAATTGTGATGAGCTATAAAACTTGAAAAAAAATCTCCTTTTATGATTTTCTCTTTTCCCTTTGACAGTCTCTTGGTGTAGGATTTCAGAAATTGTTTGATATATAATATACCACGTGACGTAGCAGAATGGCTACCTTTGAGAAACGATATAAGTGGCAAAACAGTATTTTGTTGGAGTTTGGTGTCTGTTGGAGTTAGGTGTTGGGAAAGACAATGAATGTCGCCCAAAGCAAGCTGGGTATCTGGCAGGCCTATTTCTCTAAAACAATGCACTATGTCTAAGCGGTATCTTTCAAGGTTGCCTCTACAAGAAGAGCAGGTACGGGTATCACTCGACGCCAACTTTACGACTGGTGAAGGTTTTCAACAAAAAATAACTCGTTCAGCTTCAAAGAAAACATGCCCCTTGCTACGTGGCGTGGGATGCGAAAAGAAAAACATGAAGCGAAAAGACTGGCTAGCTTTTGTTAGAGTGTCTAGTATAATATAAGGAGGCGCTTCACTAGAACTAGATTTATGAGAAATTTATGAATCGATTGAAGTTATTAAAGAGCTTCTACACAAAGAATTCAGGTTTTAAATCTTGAAGAGGAAATGGTTTTAGGCAAGCATTTTGCTTTGATCTAGACATAATGCAATATCTTCACCAAAGAAGAGCAATAGCAATTCATCTCAATGACTGCCAACTGTAATTAACAACTTTCAAATAGAAGATAAGGAGTGCTGGTCTTAATACTGGAACGATAAACGTAAAAAGAAATTTTTGGATTGCTTTCAGAAACCCTGAAGTTCAGATACCATGAAAGGCTTGCGGCGAATAAAGGTCTGGACTCCTGCCGAGATAAGATGTTCATATAGTGAGCACCACATCAAAGAAAGTAACTTGGAAAGCGAAACGGCGCAAACCAAACGACCAAAGAGGATAAACTACCAGAAACCAGTTAACAGTTTAATAAAAAAAATATTGTGATTTGCTTGTGTGTTTTATGTGTGATCCCAAGGCCACGTGAGCCATAAAAATTTGGCAAATGTTTGGAAACCTTTTCTTTGGGAATTCCCTAATATAAATATCTTTGCAAAGCTTCTTTTGCATTAAAGAAATCATATAGATGTAAATATCTCACAGAGTCTGCAGCTGCAAGCACAATTGACAGAGAAGTCAATAGAATGTGAAGTTTAAAACGATTTCCTCTTATCCATCATTCAAACTTTTATCTTTTTATCATTTACTATAAATTTTGGGAATGGGGTTCTTTGGTACAAATGTAGCAAATTGAAAATAGCTTTGCCTGATAACAGATGTGAATATCAATGGGTGAAATGGGCAGCTGATGAACGATAAACAGGTTTCTAAGATATAAATCTATATAGAGCATAAGAATAATGGTGAGAAATGAGCGGGTAATTCTAGGCTCGTTTTAAAAAGTTTTGATTTTCAAGGGCAACGTATCAATTTCTTAAGAAATCATCAAAGCAAGGTGATTGGAAAGCACTTATAAGGGTTTTCTCCTTACTCAAAAAATCTAATCCATGCTCTCACTTTCTCCATCTCCCTCTTTCGGAAATTTTGACGCTTTACAAAAAGTTACCTTGCTGTTGGAATATGAGATTTAGACGTGCGATTAGAGACAACGTACTTAAGCTTTTTTCTGATTAGCTGTGTAGCTTGAATAGCATAGCATACGATTGATTGAGCAAGAGATCTGTTCACCGTGTCAATAATATGTCTGTTTATCGCAGCAATCAACCCTTCCTTATTGAAGAGCAGGAATGGCGAAACATTTAATAATCTTAACTGCCAACGGCAACTGCCGATGGTCGATCAGCAGATAAGATACGTTAGACGGGAGAAATGAGGCTTCTTCCAAAATGGAACGATTAAAACAGGTGCTGTATTTCAAAGTGGGTGACCAAACTTATCATTTCCAGTCACCCAGAACCAGTAAACCCATGGCTAATATGCATGGGATACAAATATGTGATCTCAATCATACATTGGCAGGTTGATGCGATAAAAGTATCGGTAAAATGATATCACAAGAGATAAGAAACCGAAAAATTCTCATGGGAATTTTTTGGACTGCCTGTAAGGAAGTGTGTCTGTACTGTTACCAGTTTATGCAACAAAGAGGTGCGAATTGTTGAGGCTAAGTATTCAACGCACGTGGCACAAGTATAATGTCTGGTGGATACTTAGAGGAGCTATAATCTAGATATCTGCGTCAGGACGAATACTAATTGCATGCGTTGTTTACAAAATGAGACTGAAAATGACTCTGTCTCGATTGACCCTGTTGACTAGAGCAACAGACGAACACCTGCGGGTACACAAACAAAGAAACAAACAAACAAGTGCTAGAAATAGGCATTATCAATATGAGAAAATAGATCTTTGTTATACCTCTTTGGCTCGAAAATAGGAGTCTTCTTTTTCTGTGTATTCTAACTGCATGTATGTACAAAACTCGTCCTAGAATCAAAAGAAAATTCTTACTTTTATCGTCACCTTAAATTTTATGTCGACGATAAAATAAATAAGCCAATACGAATTAGTAGCTTTTTACTGATTGCCGAAAATTTTACGAATTTTCGTTGTGCTGGCATTTATATCTACAATGCTTGAAAAACTTCCCTATTTGCTACGTTGTGCTGCAATAAAATATGAATAAAACTAGGGGAATAAAACTTATCGTCAAAAAATTGCAAATAGTCGAAAATTTGCAAGATGATAAAACTGTGTACAAAAAGGGTTGTACTTTAATTAGTCAACTTGAATGTTGTGCCAGATTTACATAATGCTTATTGCCTATTGTCGAGAATCTCAATGCTTTTAAGGATACTTTTACAATTTGCGAAATCCACTCTAAAAGTATTTGTGAAAGCAATTTCCATTAGCAGACGATTTGCTGCTAATCTTTTTCTTTCAAGCCCTGAAAAACTTCCCAGACATCTCCACAATACAAGCAATTAGCAATTTCTAATTACCAAATATCTGGCGGGTCATTTCAACATGTTGAGCCATTCCAAATATTACTCAACCATATCTGAGCGTTTTGTTTACAAAATTTTGACTTCCCTCTCTGTAAGGAACCAGTAAGCGGTCAAGCCTTATCACGTAGCTTGTGTCCCATTTTTCACACAACTTGTGTCTCGTTAGCAAGAATATTCGCTTTGAAGACATGAGCCCGCATGTCTATGATTCGTGTACATAAAAGAAGGAAATGAATTGTTACATTAATGGCTTCAGCCACGTGCACTCTTTTCTTCTCTATCAAAGTCAGAAACGAGCACATCATGTGCTAATCGCTTTTATTATCACTAGCCTGCAAATTTCAGGGTGGCGAAATTTCATCATTAGCTAAATCGTATCTTATCACGGAAATAATGAGGTAATGAGAAATTGACGAGACACAAGTGTTTCAGTGTATAGATTACGGCAAAATAAGAGATTTGAAACAGTTGCAAACAAATCATCATATGTCTCAAGTGACAAGCAGCAAGCAATTTTTCTTGCTTAAAAATATTTAATGGCGAGATAGATTATAATCAGGTGATCAGAGGTTGCAGATTCTTGAAGATATCGAGCAACAAACTACTATTTTTAAACCATTGAATAACATTTTAAATCACTTTTAAATAAAAACGATAGGCAAATAATAGAGCGAATTCTTGAAGCCTAAGTAGAATTTCAATTACAAAACTGCGTGGAAAACGTTATGACTGTTAAAGTCAAGAACGTAATAGCATATTATTTCGAACGATTTTACATTTCAACTTTACTTCATTTATTTAACAACACTTCATTCAACTTGTCTTTTGTGAATAGGTTAGCGAAAGTTAAGTCGTTTAACCATCTTGGTAAGTTTTGTTAGTCGTGCTCTGTGTTGTCGAGCAAAGTTTGACCCTGGTCTAAAAGGTTTCTGTTTAGTGGTTTTTAGCACGTGCTAGGTTTTATAGGCAAAATGTTTAACATTTGTTTAAGTAGCGCAGTAGCTTTGGAAACTCGTTCCTGTGTTACTCAATGTCTTGAGAAAGACAATAGTGACATATACATCATCTAGTTGTACACTACTGTGTCCTCAAAGCTTAACCTAGCTAATAAAAGGTTTTGAAAAATCCTTTCCTTTTCCGTCACTTTATTATGCTTTAGCTTTACCCATTTCGTTTTTTAAAGTTCGTCTTCGGTTTGCTCCATTCTAATAGACCTGGAGGAGCCATTTTATGATTTATGTCCTTCATCCTTATTTAATGCTTACAACAAAAGAAACAGATACAAAGGTTCCGTTCAAAGTCGCCTATGCTCTCACAGACCCCTAAATAACTTGCCGTTTAAGACATTTATTGAGGTTCAGTTCAAAGTTTAGTCGTTTTGCGACCAGCGATAAACTTTGCTGAATTTGATCAAACGTTGAGTGCGCTGAGTGCAATGTGTAATGAAATGTTTAGTCGCTTAGCAAGGGCTTTAAATTGGCCCTTACAAGACCATATAAACATACCCATGTTATATATCCATCTGAGGTTGAATCGATTTTCATAAAGAGAGACGCCACCTGGTCCTCAGTCTGCAAACAAAGAGTAAATGCATCTAACAAGCTTTAAGTAAACGGGACTGTATGTATAATTGAAATGAAAACGGAGTTTTAATTAAGAGTTTTGCAGATTGGAATCTGAACTTGAAGTGACTGTGACGTGTAACCAGAATTGACAGTACCAGGCTCTGGCCGGTCTTTACCACAAAGCCAAAAATACCCCCATCTTGTACCAGAGAAGACTTTAATCGGATCGGCTTACGACAGAATTTGTAAAGGTGCACGATAGAAGAAACGCACCATGTATAGCTAGATAGTTACAGAAGCATCTTTCCTGCAGATTTTGATTAAACAAGCTTCCCATAAAAGAAGTATCTAAGAATCCCTGAATAGTATGGACCTATCTGTATCATTACATCGTCGAAGAAAACGCCAAAGAATTGAAAAAGAAAGAATATGCACTTCAGTAAGGCTAGGTTTATCTTTTGATATGATATAACTCAAAATGATAGCGACAATTGAAAAATCTTACAGCTCCTTTTAGTCCAAGGTAGTGACGGAAAACTCCTTTGAATTCTGCCAAATCCAATGTTCTACTTGCATCTCCACCTGCAGCCTAGGATAGAAAGTAGCTTTTGTGCTATGTCCACAGAGATGTGAAATATCAAACATTATGTACATTTTATTGTTTGATATGCATATGAGCATATGCCAGACTATACATGTAGGCTTGAAATTTAGCATGTTTTATGGAAACCCTGACTTAGTTCTATCTAAAAATAAACATTTACAATTTCATTTCTTAGCAAAAATGAAATACAAATATCTGCCAAAAGCATTTTTTTTAGAGCTGAAAAATTATTCCTTTTGTGTACAAGGATAAAGAAACCAAATGCTCAGTAATTTGGAGATATGACACAGTCACTCACTTATAATGGTTTTGATTCAACTAACGAATCAGCAAAATGCTCAGATGAGTTTAGTTTTTACATGAAACATAATCTCTATCACAACCTGATGATATACATCACTGTGTTTCTATACTATTTTTAAAAAGCAATTAGCTTCTATTAAAAAGATTTTAAACACTTTGCTGTTTGCTCAACAGAGTCACCATCAGAAAAAGCTTCACAGTTTCATAATTCAGACCCTAAAAGTTCTCCCGCTAAAAATTTAACTGTCTTCTCTGTTTTAAATTGGTGCTACTCATATTGAAAACTGGATATGATAGGAGGAAGAAACAACTTTGGAGGTTCAAGTCAGTTTAGACCATTTCATATTTGTGGAGGGTCAAGAAATGGTCATACTTTCATTAATTATTTGCTTCAAATAAATGGTCCACATCCTTGTTTAAAAGAAGACAATGCTATATTGAAGAAGTTTGCTATGATAGGTAATAGGGACGCAGTCAGCTTTGATATTGCGTCAGAAGATCCCAATTTTGACCTTGATAATGTTTATGCTGATAACTGGCATTAGAGAGATAAAAATATTTAAATTTAGAATAGCTAATACTTTGATTATAGCACATCAAATGGGAACATCAAGGATAATGTTTATCATGTCTTGAGCTGTGTCACAAAATCATTCAAATTTTATGTCTGTGATTGAAAATTTATAAAATTGACAATGGACTTTTTTATGAGCTGTCTAGTAAGCCCCAGTACACATTTAAACTCATCCCATTGGAATTGAATCTATAAAGTATTTGCATGTTACCTCAAAAGCATTTTTCATTTGATGGAGATGTTCAAGAGTAATTTTCTCTTCTATCTGCAAAAGAAAAAAGACATTATTTTGAAATATTTTGTCAAGGTAAATACTCTATAATATTAATATATATGACAACAAAAATTTTTAAATTAATTTTTAAAATTTTTAAAATTATGCAAAATTCATAGTCAAAAAGGAGATGGTAAATCAATTTATATAAAAAACATTTTGTTGCCAAAATTTGTCAAAAATAGTTTTTGGAACACCTTTTTGGTACATTCTTATTTTACTTACACTTTTTACTACTCAAATTTTAACTATATTACAATTTTTCTATATAACTTACGAAAAGAAATTGGTCAAAAAGATATCTAACGAAGCTCATTTTAATGCCGCTAATATTCCAAGTGAGAAGCAATTGATTTTGGACAACTGAAGCTGACATCAATGGCCACAAATTCAGTCAGTGTATCACTTTTACCAGACAGCATCACATTAAAATTCATGATTCAATTATTAATGAAAACCACAGTTCTCTACAATTTGTAGCAATTTTGTGTCTCTAACCATCCATTCTGCAGTTTGCAATTCAAAATCTTTTACATTTTCACAGATTTGAGAATGTTTGCTTCAAAAGATGCTTTCAATTTAATCTCAGACCAATTTGGTCACTTTGATCTCATCCTTAATTTTAAAATTTAACTTAATTCATTGTTCTTCTTATTTAAAGAAGACTGACATAATAATAAAGACTTTAACGAAGGCCTCTTTAAAGATGGATCCACCACTTGTCAACTGGAAGGACACTGATCCTCTTTTCTTAATTCTGGGTTGGATTAAACCCAATAACTTTTAAAGCATTATGTCCTTTCTTTTCTAAATGCAAATCTATTTAGAACAATTAGATTGCAAGATGTACAAGTTTTTTTACAAAAATTAAATAAACAGACATGGGTAGCATTGCTACTTCTGTTTGGTGAGTTTATTTCACAGACTATCAAAAACAATAAGAAATGGCAAATGACAAAGAACAATGCATTCGTTCATCCTTGCTCCCAAGATCTGCACTTTACTATAAGAAGGCCATGGAATAGCAGAGGTTCCAAACACAAGAATGATCAAGTAAGAAGGATCTAGCAAATCAGCTGCAACGTCAGAGAAGCACCACTTATGACAGAATTTCAAAAACCCTTAAACTAAACTTTAAAAGTGGCTGGAAATTTTTCTTGATTCTTTTGCAATAGTGAGACACAAAGAGAGTGAGTCACATCTTCAGCTTAATTGCATGAAAAACTACCTAGTGCATTCATAACCTTCTCTCAATGCAATAAACTGGAATAATCAGGTTACAAAAAGCACCTGCAAGTCCAAATCGTGCAGGAAAATAGCTTTTTTATCTCTGACATATATCTCGTACAATGTGTGGCACTAGCACACTAATCTCGAGTATCATCAGGCATTTTCATAAGAAACCAGACTGGATGTCTCAGTGGTTTGAGTCCCAGGCTACAGATCAAAGGTTTGTGGTTTAAGTTTCTAAACTGACCAAACTTTCACCCAGAGTGGCGGGCAGGGGGGGGAGGGGGGGGAGATGCCAGCTCTCTACAATTCCAGGTGTAGAAATCATAAGGTATGGTCACATCGAGAGAAAGTACCCACCCTGTGAAAATATTATTTCTTAATAAAAATAATGCTGACCCAATCACAAGTGATTATTTGCATCAAATTAAAATACCTTGTTACATTAAAATCTATGCATAGCCCACACCTTAAATCAAATGTCAAATGACAGTTGTCAACTGGAAGTGTATTACTTCAACAGAAATGAGGATGGCTTGATTGATGCTACATCCCTGGTCACCAAGATTGAAAACAAACATCATTCAGGCAATGTGTAGCTGCCATCAGTTTGACTTTTCAATGTAAGAGCTGTGAAGGGGGTGTTAATAACATGTTTGGATAAGGCGCTGGCTCTTGTATATAAGGAGAAAAACTTTCTTGAAGTTAGAGTGAAGAAAATAGAAATGCATAAGCTTTTCAAAACAAGTCACATAGGACCTAATTACCAATGCAATACCTTCATCGTTCCTGCTTTTGCCCCCGCAGTAATTGGTCTCCTTATTTTCTGTGAACTTGTTAAAAATGATGTATCAGTTGGCCCTATGGTAGCTCTTCTTGTACTATCATTTTTCAAGTCGTGCTTGTCAACTCCTCCATGCACCTGTCTACCCTTCACTCTGTTTACTGCGCCCGCACCTCCTGGCTTTTTAGTTCCTGGTAATCTTTGAGATGTTACATAGGTTGGCTCAAGGCCAGGTAGGGATTCTTTGTTCAAACCCAGTGCTGTATTAGGCCTGATATCATCCAGGATATGACTGACTTCATGACTTTGGATGATCCCCGAAGCTGTTGATGGGCGGACGTTTTTGTCTTTGCTCCTAGGCATGTTTATTTCAGTTCAAATAGGCCTTTGACGCGCAACAAGAAAAGTAAAAATATCTATTTCATAGGTGCAGCTGAGAAGAAGTCATGCAAACAACTTGCAATGAAAAAGATGTCTTAAGTGACAAGAGGCAGTTCCACTTTATTACCAAAATGGTGGCAGCTAGTTACTTGCTCGATGATTAGGCCAGAACTTTGGAGTTTGGTTTCTGTCGGCCATTACTGCAGCATGTCGAATGTTTTTAGGAGACTGGAGCCTAGAAACTGGTTGCCATAGCTGGGTCGTTGCTGTTGTTATTACTTTGAAATTGTTGCGGCGCTGGTTTTATCGTGTTTTTTTACATGAATTTCTGAAGTCTTGCTCAGCCTCAAACTTGTAATTATGTAACTAGCATTGATCTTAAATCAACTATGATTCAACTTGTAAATTTAGTAAGAAGGAAGAAGCAGAGTTTAAATTTTTGATACTGTCTTTCTTCGCCATCATAACTTGTTCGGAAATGAAACATGCGAGAATACAAGCTTGATGTTCTGGGAAGTCACGCTTGCTTTGTTCGCTCAAAGAAAACCAGATAGGTAAAAAGCCAAACTGTCGATAAAATTTGAGCCTTGATTTCAGTACATGATTTGTACATAAATAGACTGTGTCTAGTTAAATCTTCCTGGTGTCCTTAGACTAGAGCATTTTTTCTTACATAGCTGGAAAATTTGCATTTCTTAGGATTTCCATAGCCATGTTTTTGTTTATGTTCCTAAATTTAGCTTTTTTTACACGATAATATAATGTCTCCTAAGGATTCAAATCTATCACTTCGCAGTTTCTTCAGAAAGGATTTTTCATCTCTCGGCGTTGTAAGCTTCTTCGTTCTGCCAACCTTTGGTGAATTTCTTACTCTTCTTGTAAGGAAAAATTTTACGCACCACAAAAGCTGCACCCATTGAGATATTCACAAGAGATGCAATTCCACGAAATCCTTTCGTGTTATTTTGCAGAAACCAGTTTTCAAGCGCTTCTCGTAACTCAGTTCATGTTTCGTGAGTTGTTTGGCGTAAATAAAAAGCATCGAAACATCAACAATGTCTTGTGAATATCTCATGAAAACAGCTGCCGTCCTTTTTTTATGAAAAAGATTTTTAAGAAGTCTTCCCACATATGTTGCATAAAATGTCTTCGAAAGTTCGAAGCTTGTACCAATACTCTTTAAACGTAAGTGTAGCTTCTTTGGGTCTGATACGCGGCATCCAATGCTTGCATACATATTACGAAGCAGTACTGTTTCTTTGCTTTATTGTTGTTTATTTATTTTGCTTTGGTATTTATATAGCTGAAAATCTATACAGTTTATACATAGTTATCTAATCAGGATTTTCAACTGTCCTCTCCATCCCCCGAACTACGTAAGGCCATGACCATCGTTCAGAAGAATTTTCAAGTGAAGGAAGCTTTCGTCTAAGCAATAAACTAAATGCTTTTAAGAAAATGGGTATGATTTGAGCAAAATAGCTTGCCCCTAGAAATCTTCCTTGTCTTTACACATGTAGAATCACACATGTAAGGTCCCTTAGTAATAAGCGATGTCGCATAAAGCAACCACATAAACCACTTCACAAAGTGGGAGCACAATTTTACTGAGAATTCGATAAACATACTAACTGATGCTTTTCAAAAGCATTTTAGCGACACTTTTTGCACATTTTACTAAGAAAGGCTTGTTTGCAGGTTAATTTTCAAAGTGTATTGAAAACTAATAACTACATGCAATGAGAAAGTTGATCAAACGTTTTTAACAAATCTAATCCAAATCGGTTACAAAATTCACTTGAACGACGAAATAAACACCATTCATCGAGGAAACAGTCCAATTGAACTGTCCTGTGACTTGAAAAATAATATTTATGGCCATTCTTTCCATGACCTATGAAGTGACCCAAAGTCTAAAATATATTTTGTAAAAGAAGGTGTCCAGATTATCACATAATTTTGCAAAGCACATCCATGCAATGTTGTGTCGTTGGAGATGTAAAAGACGATTATCGAGCAGAGACCGACTTTGCCATCCATTGTCGAGTGATAAAGACGTGCTTATCAGTAACAAATGATTCATGAAAACATATTGACGATGTCCAGATTAACTGCTGTACTCTCTGCAATATGAATTTACTTGAGTTATCAACCATGTGCCTATTAGATTTACAGTTTGAGGATTGTTTGTGATGAGCTGCGAAAAATTTCATTTTAGTATAAAAAGTCACATTCTACCCACCTCATACTCGATATAATTAAAACTTGTTGCTGCCTTTATAGATTTTAAAGAACAGCTTAACCAAATTTTCTTCTATTGCAAAGTTGTCACTTTCCAACGATAAATATAAAAGCTTCTTATTTCTAGACAAGTTCAATGTTTTATAAATAACAGATCAATTAAAAATTTTAAAATATAAATTGGACAGTTCTTTGATAGTAACAACTAGGCACTCGGTTTCTGCTAAAGGAGACCTTGAGTCGTGTGATAGTTTTTGAAAGTGACTTGTGGCCACATTAATATCGCATCTGCTTTGTCATACATTCAACAGGTGTACCGAAGAAGGCCAGCTAATATAGCACTTAGCAAAGCATTTAGTATTCAAACAAAGCAGTTTGGACAGGATTATCCTAAAAGTCTACCACGGATATAATATAGGGCAGATATAATCCATGTCTAGTGTTTGTTAACTGTACTAAGTTTGTTTATTTTTTATACAATTGTTGGAGCACATTGATTATTTTTTGTTGAAGACCGAACAAAGATCAACTGATTTTGTGTATATTCTACATTGAACTTTTAAACTCAATGTAGAACCAATGAAAGTTAAACTGTTCTGACTGCCCAATTGAACCTTTGAAAGTTAATAAAGTTTAAAGGTGTTTGATGGGGGTTCAAGAGGGTTCAAGAGGGGTCAAGAGGGTTCAAGAGGGTTCAAGAGGGTTCAAGAGGGTTCAAGAGGGTTCAAGAGGGTTCAAGAGGGTTCAAGAGTCTCTTTGGGATCCAATAACAGATCTCTGATTAATTTTTGCCCTGTGCTCCATACAACGTTCTGATCGATTCCTGTCCTGTACTCTATACTCATAAAAGATGGAGTGTAGCTATTAGTAGTGACCTCAGAAACCTTTTTATGGATTTCGGAAGTACAAAAAAGTCTAATGACACAAATTTCCAGTATGTTTAACTAACATTTTCCACTGCTATGATCTGTTCCTAATTCCAATCCCCACGGTTGTAGAATGTTCCAAAGAAAAGAAAGAAAAATCAACGTTATCTCCTTAATCAACGCTATCTTCTTAAATTAAACCTCTAAATTCTACTACCACGAGCTGCCACAACTCAATCTCAATGCATATATAATTAACTCTAACTAATTATGTCGCCAGCGCAGAGATAAATTCCAACATCCCAAACAACAGATACGTATAGAAGTCTGAATCTGTGAGACTTTAATGGAGAACTTGGTTCAAAAAATTGATAGCCTTTGTGCTTTGACGGCCTCTTTATCATGCCACAGTCAGTTTTACAGCTGATGATCCAAAGAGATCAAATCTTTTGGAATGGCTGTGCCTACTAAGCACATTCGCATTAAAAAATATATGGCAATTTAACCACAAAAATGAGTATGAGTAAACTGTTGTCATAAAAGGGCCGTCTTCATTCAGAGAGATCTGTCGAAAGCCTTGAAGGGAGGATTTGAATCTAATTTTCCGGACACAGCCATCCATCTCAAAAGTGTTCTTAGAACCCTTTTTGCTACACAAGCAGTTTTTAACCTCATCGATCTATAAGGAATTTGCTCCCAAAGCAGGCGCCACCTTAGCAAGTGACCGTCTTATCTCACAGTGGACATCTGAAATAGATTCTTTTGGCTATAGAAATGATCAGGGTTTAGCTTGAACATGTTGAGGCATTGTTCTTTTAGAGAGACCCGGCTTAAAGTTCCGCTTCCATTGCGGGTGTACCGTAGCCGAAGGTGATTTTATAGGCTTGATTCTATGCAGCTGTACGCACCTACCTAGGTACAGCAATAATCTTGTTTTTATAAGGGACTTTGATCTATAATTTTTTGTAGGTTTTTTTACGTTTGATCACGATTTTCGAACATGAAGAGCTAGTTAACTCTGCTCAACAAAGACAGCAGTCTTTCATGTAAAATATTTGCAATGAGTCTGCAGGATCTATTTACCATATAATGTGACATTTTTTGTTTACAAATATTTCAAAATCACATCTTGAAGAAGAACATGACACTTACAAATCAGATGCAAATTTAAAATTTTTCTGACATCCGATTCTTTCAAAGAAGATATTCCTAATGTTCATAAACAGGTCATTTCTTTTACAAAGCAAAGCAATTTTATGGATATTGCAAGTTGCCTCGTATATATGGATATTGACTGAACTTTCAAATAAATGTTTGGATTGCCTTACCCTCAGGAAGAACTGCAGTCATGATAGGTATCAGTGTGGTAATCGTAATTCGTAAAAATTTTGATTTTTGATTGCAAATAATACTGTGTCATAGCTCCAAGAAAAGGACAATCATATCGTTTCTATTAAGGCTTTTTGAGGACCTTGTATCATAAAAAGATGGAAAAATAATTTTCTACCAAAATTTGGAACCAGATCTCAAAAATGTTTTTGTAGTTCTGTTGTCGTTGTCAATTGAAACCAAAATCAAATGCTCGATTTACCACTAACCAAATTTTTGTTAAATTACAAAGATTTTGCAAAGCATAAACTGAACATCAATATGGGTTTGAATAATTCCTGGCCTGGTTGCCTCCCTTCTGTGTTAGCATTAATAACCTCCTATCAAGATTAGTTAGCTTGCTGTTTTAACTTTCTTTCGGTATTAGAAGTTAATTCAAGCCAAAGTACATATACTTAACCCCCTGGATCTTTAGAAATCCTTTCGTCTATAGCATTAAATATGCAAAAGGACAACAATCTCGCTTGGGGGCCAACAAACCATTTTGTGACACCAGTTGTATAAATTTAGACCTAATCATATTTTGAACTACTATATAATGCCTTGATGATGAAAAGACAGCGACATGTATGAAGCTTTCCTTTGCAGACACCATGCGCCGAAACAGACAAAGTACTTTATAGAAACTAAACTCGGTGACTCAATATCAATAAAACGAGGCATCAGAAGCCATACTAGGCCACCTTGAACTGTACTTTTGATTAGTAAGATTTCTCAAGTAGCTGAGTTGTAACTA